TCGATATAATGTTTTACTTACTCACAACTCTCAGTTTCAACTTATGCTATCTACTGACATTTCAAATTAGAAACAAATCTCCATTTATTTATGACAAAAAAAAAGAACATGAATTGAATTGCGAGCACAAAGAGAGCATGATTCCATACTTAGTGGGATACTCCATTACAATGTCGTTTTACATATTTTTACATTGCTTTTTTTTCGTCTTCTAAAATAGATCTTATATATGTGTGATAGAAGTAAAAATACAGCGTAACACAGGTAAAGCGGTTCTTCACGGAACCTTTCAGTAATAGCTCTGTTAATTTTAAAATAGATGAAACTTCACTGAACTTGATTGGAAATGGAAATATTGAGAAGATGAATCATGATGATAGTGGTGATAGTGGAACAACCAATGATTTATTAGAAGTAAAAGTGCAGCGATCTGTGAAACTTGTTCGAGGAGCTAGCCAACTTTGTACAATCATAAACGTAAGTCTAAATTCTTTTTATTATTCAAGTTCTATATTTTCTTCATTTCAGGCTTCCTCGCTCATCTTATTCTTAACTTCCGCTGATGTCATGTGGCAGTATTGTGATATATTATGCACCTTGATAAAGATACATTGATTGATCCTCTTCACTGAAAGAGCAGAGCTCTGCTAGCTAACATACATGCCTGGTTGTAGAATATGCAATTAACATTTGGAAGAAGAAAACGGAATAAACTTATTCGTTTAATTCAACTTCAAAGTGGATATATGAAACATGGATGGAATAGTAAGGACATGAGAATCAATTGATATGTGAACAAAGGTTGAAATATCTCTGAGTGCTTAAAAAGATAAAGCTTAAGTAGCAGAGCCAAGAACGAGGAAACAACATGTTATCTCAGTTTATGCATTAGAGCAAGTTAACATCAGATCATGTTATCAGTAGAACAGAAAATAGTTCAATCAAATATGATGGGCACAAAGTCCTTCTTCACTTATACAGTGAAGTCCTTGGCAATCAGCATCTGTTGCACATGCGTCACCAGTTTCATATATAATTTGATCACGACGATTACCACTATAATATATATGATCATCAAACTACATTGTAGTTTATGCTCACGCTGGTCCGTAATGACAAACAACATATCCCATTAAAGGACATTGTACAACAGCACATCCTAAATGGTATGATCGATCCCACGCCATCTAATAAATTAAATTTTTCTATTGCGTATCATATGTAATATAATATACTTGAGTCCAATGTCCAACTAATTTTCCTTTGTTCCGCCACATATCACTACTAAGTAGATTGTCTTCTGGTACACCGAATTGTTCCAACTCTTGCCACCATTTTTCAATACCCTAATATATTATAATATAATTATATATATTATGCTCTAATCTGATTATTGATTACTGTTCTTAATAGAATGCGGGGATCAAAGTGTATTGTTGATGTCATATAGAGATTTTGACCTTGATTAGGCCTTTCCCAGCTATTTGAATGAGCAAAAACACATTTTTCTGCATGCTTTTGAGCATATCGTTCCAATTCACAGTTGTATTCCTGTAAAAGTGAATATTACATCAGATGTTTCTATTTTATTACCATCTTAATCATTCTTTTTGCTGTAGGCTGTGACATGTTTGTCTCACCATTGTATTCTAATCCTCTGGCTAACCTCGATCTGAACATCATCATTCAAATTCACTCATACAACTCCAACTCTCATCTTCTACCTGTAGAAGTTATGCTGAGACAAAGCCAAATCTCTAATAGCATCAGTCATATTAGAACTATCTGAACATATTGTATTCTCACCATTATCTAAAAAAAATTATGAGTATATTCATGTTCGATGTATTCTGATATATATCATCATCAACGAGACCATTCACATATTTGGGAGCAAGGCATAATCCTGTTGTTGTATTACATTTCGAATTTGGATATGTAAAACAATCCTCATTTGATGTGCATGGCTCACCAGGCTCATAAATCATTTCCAATTCACATTGAGCTCTATGATGAATTATGAGATGGATTTTCAATCTTATTCAGCAAATTACTTTTCGCTGTAAATGCATATGAAAACGGCTTTCTGTTCAGATGAACATTGCTTATATGAGCATCCGATTCGTGTAGTTTTACCTTTGGCCATCTCAAAGCAGCAATTATGTCTGTTGCGGAGCAATGACTCACATTTGCCCATCCAATATAGTTTCTTCGATTGAAATATCGATTCCTAGCATCCTCATTGCCTGAATGTTGTCCTTGGTTCCACCATTGTTCCAATGCTTTTTTAACATGCAATTGGTCGTCAGTTCCATCCCACAGGAGCCAGAACCTTTATGCATTCGATATATAATCACTTATTCATGTCTGATACCAACGTTTTGATCACTTGAGCACTTGATTTCAAGGTAGATCCATTGATGAAGGCAGAAGAGCAAGCAGATATATGAGTTGCAGCAATTCGCTCCAATTCATTATCCCATTCCTGAAAATTAGTTATCAATTCATTTGTCTTGCCTTATAGAACCAATTGATAGATGTTCTTTCCACTTTGCATATTTCCTATCAAATTAGGTTCTAAGCCAGAAGCTAAACTACTTCTCTTGTTATTATGGTATTCTAAAATATATTGGCGAAGATGTTCTGGAATATGAGAATAGCTCTCTCCCTCAGAGTCGTCCAGAGTATTAGCAAGAAGGTCTTCAAATGATATTTCAATATAACATAACTGGATAATAAACCTTCATCAACTGCTATATAGTCTATTGGGTTGGCAGGAGAATGAATACTCAAGTCATTCTCGAACTCATCTATAGATCCACTACCTTCATTCATGTTAGAAGCAGCCTTAAGATAGTTAGAAAGAGAGAGGGAGAGCGAAAGAGTGAAATGATTGAAAAGAAAGTGGAAAGAGTTAAGTGTACCTGTGAAGAGCCAATAGACAATAACAGTAAACAACCTTCTAGTATGAGCATATTGTTTAGAAACAATCTCATAAAGGAAGACACTCTCTTGAATGTCATAATTGTACCCGTGCGTTTGAATATATCTATGAAGATTCATTATTTTTGAATTAACAAACGATATCTAGCTGTATAAGATCCTATTCTCAGATCGTTAAATGAAACAATGAGTCGTAAAAGTGTAGAAAAAAAAAAGTTTTTGAAAATAGAATTTCACATCTGAATGTTGTTAATAAGGATGATCAATGTTCATAAGATGCTTATAAGCCATAGATGGATGTATAAGAAAATAAATGATGCGTATAATAGGATGATTTTGAAAGAGCAATATGAGGAGAGAAGACAGTCAATGGCATAGTCAATCTTATAACATAATGTATTGTAAGTGACTTCTTCTTTATTTGTTTCTTCAACCTCTCTATAACTGTCTTGTTTCACTTTGCCATCCATCTATACCTGTTTTATTCAACGCTTTTGTCAATATGGTTGAGAATAGAACAATTTTAATTGTTAGTTGACCCTTATGTCGAACCATAGAGGTGGAAATCTTTTTTTTTTCTATTTCGGAAGTATATTTTCAACTTTTGCTATGTTTTTTTTGGCATTCTGTTAAATTCAAAAACTGAATAGGTTTCAGTTTCTTCTTTCGCCGTTTTCTCACTTTTATCATTTCTGTTGTGTTTCAATTGTCTTTCTAGCGCTATTGTTTCGCTTTGCTTAGATCCTGCTTTCTTCAATGTCATTTTTCTTTTATCATTTCATGAACTATTTATTATCGATAGAGTGCTGCTTATCTTTGAGTGAAACCATCCTTTTCGAAACAAGATATTCTATCGTTGACATTGCAAATACGCAAAAACGGTCGATAGTTGTAAATGATTTGTGAAGTAGAAAAAAAATATAAATAATCAAACTGATCACTGGTGCCTATAGGTCTTTCATATCATCTGATAGATAGGTAGATGTGAGGGCTGTTGAAGAGGAGGAAGACAGATTGATGAAGCTTCATCTATCGATATCAATCCATGATAGTCTGAAAGAACAAAAGAAACTTTTTTTTTTGACTCAAATGATCAAAATGTAGTTGAAGAGATGATCGAACGATAGACTGATTGAGAGAAAAGATCATTTGAAGATGGCTAGAGAGAACAAAAAAATAAGATAAAACTTAGAGAAAAGATGATCAAAACGATAAGGATAGAGAAGAAATAGAGCGATTGAATAAGTGTAATGAATGAAAATTTTTATTGAAAGTAAGAGAATGTAATACAGTTCATAAGATATGTTATTCGATAAGTACCTTATGATAATCACATGATATTCAACAATCATTTAATTACTTAATTAGTATGTAATGAATCATTAGAGAGCATACGTCATTAGCTTTAATCACATTGAGTCAATGCTCTTTCTCAACTAAGCCTTCCAGGCTATCAAACGGAAATTAGGATTTATCTAATCAGAGCTTCTTCTTTTTCTTTTTCTTTTTTTTTCTCCATTTCCAAACTCATCTTTTTCTTATTTTGAAATACTTCTTCTTATATCGTAAACTGTTCTAGAACTTATTTATATCAAGCGAGAAAATGGCGTGATAACGAGGCTCTGATGTTAGTTCTTTACAACATACTATGAGAGCTATTTAATTTCTTTTTTCTTTCAACTTCATTATATCCAATTCATGAAACTCTTATTTTCGAATGAAATTGATGGATTTGCTAGAAAATTTTAGTTTTTAAAGAAAAAAATATTGAAAATTCAAAAACGTATGAGTTCTGTAAGATTGGATGAGAGAGATAGAGAGAATGAAAGAGTAAATTGAGAGAAAATCGAAAATGATGAGAGATGAGGAGAAAAACGAAAGAAAAATAGAAAAGAGAAAGAGAGAGAGAGAGAGTGAGAGAGCAACGGAGAATAAGAGATAGAGTTTCTTCGAGCTTTCATCTCTCAATTATTATTATTCAGATGAGAGATGAAGCTGAGAGTAACATCTGTTTCCGTAGTATTTCCTTCAATCATGCACTTTTTGAAATGTAAAAAGAAAGATTGTTTACCAATTCGTACTATAAGTTTAACTTTATTTTGTCATTTTGTAAGAAAAATTGGAAAATCGATAGCTTTCGTCTACTCAACTAACATCATATCATGTCTATTTCTCTCTCTCTATCTCTCTTTCACTCCCTCTCTATCGATATATTCTTTTAACACACAAAATAACATACACACTTTTTGTATCTATCTCATTTCAAATTTTAAGGTTCAAACTATGTTTGCGCCAATAATCGATTGACGCAAACAACCTATTGATTCAAACATTTTGTTACAAAAACGATGATTCACATATAATTATATGGCAATTATATATCATTATAATGCTCCTATTATTATATATTCTATTTATATATATATATTGATTATGATGTTTTATTATAATTTAATTATTATATGAACTATCTATATGCATAGCATAGTTAACTCTATTAGTTATAGTTATTTTTATCTATTTATATATTCGTCGATATAGCTAAGTTAAGAATATATTTTGTTGCTTTTTATTGAATCGGAAAAATGCCTTCTGCTCTCACTCCACCCTTCTCCCTCATTCCATCATTCTGTTTTGCTCTCACGCTATTGTTGTTCCTTTGTATAGCGTATTCCACTCCAAATTTTTTTTTCTTTGGCCAACTGTGATATAAACGTTTTGTGTGGTAGTTTCGTCGTTAGTTTTTATATATAATATGTTCGTTGTTGCTTATATAATAATTCTCATGATAGTTATACTTGCAGGGTCGCGATGGTTCCTATATTGGAACACATACTGATTGTCTCGACGTTTTTGTTGCCGCCCGTGGCCATCTTAATCAGTTTGGTAGTTTGCCTAGCCTTATTTGGTAAAACATTAGGTCTTCGAGAGAGTTATGTAAACACTCTTATCTTTATCTTTGAGGTATATTTTAACGATCTTTCCATCAATACTTACATTTTCTAATTTTTTTTCAGTGGGCTGCTCGTCAAATCAAAACAACAGAACGTAACAAGCGACGAGAGAGCACTTTTCCTTCAACTGATGAAGTTGTAAGCTCTGGCGATGAAGATGAAAGCGAAAAAGAGAACGAAGCTGATGAAAATAAGCCAGCTGAGGAAGGTCTACGTCATCGTCATGGCTCAGGATCAAGTGAGTTTTATTTTACAATTAGAGGGGGTTTATACACAAGTTAGTCACCATGTAATTAGCACGGCACTGGCACGACTGTAACGCTTTCTCTGTTAAAATGGGTTTTATATTTTGAGTTTTTCTATGATTTTACAGGTTTATCTTCTCTATCCTCTATCTGCTCGAAACGTTCACGACGCGGCTCAGAGAGTAGTGCATGTAGGGTTTAAAGATGGTTCAGAAAATTTTGTTTAAACAAACTTATCCTCTGGTGCTATTGCTCATGTTTTGTTCTGAATTTAGTTCTGTTTTCCTCTTTACCCTCTATGTATTTAATCTTTACTTTTCATTTTCAGTGGGCATCATTCGCCGTGAAACTCAAATTCATCTTGATGATGATGAAGATGAAGATTTTCATGAAATTTTGGTTAAAAGCCGTGGTTGGGCTGTTGTTCGTGACTCCATCGACTTTGTGAAGGTTAGTAATGCATATTCATCATGCTGACTAATATTATTTGGAAAAAAGAAGATGATTTCATACATTTTCCAGGCTGGAATTGAAGCTGTAATTGAAGATGAAGTTACAAGTCGCTTTGAAGCAGAGCAATTAGTAACATGGAACATGCTCACAAGAACATCAATTCGGTTCTATCAATTTGTCAAGTAATTTCCAATTATATTTTCATTTCTCAATTTATTTTTAGTTGGAAGCTTACTACTCTCTACATCATTGGTCTTATGTTCCGTTACTGCATCATGCTCCCCATGCGTTTTGTTCTTTTCGGAATGGGACTTATTTTCCTGATTGTCTCAACTGGAATTATAGGAATGGTTTCAGACGGACCATTGAAAAGGTTTGCAAACTGTTTCAACATTTTCACTTAACAAATGAATTTTCAGAAAATTAAACCATCATTGTATGCTTATTAGTAATAGAATATTATCTCGCTGTTTGACAGGAGTTGTATACTTCCACGATACTCATAACAGAGCAAGGAATGGAGGTAAATCAAATTTTGAATCAGATTTATCATGTTTTTAGGTATTTGTGTTGCAAATCATACATCACCTATCGATGCCATGATCCTATCTACGGATAACGTATATGCTTTAATTGGCCAGCGACATGGAGGACTTTTGGGTATTGTTCAACGAGCACTTAGTAGAGCTAGTAGTCATATTTGGTTTGAGAGAAATGAAGCAAAGGATCGTTCAACAGTTACAAAGAGGTTTTTTGTTTTATATTTTCTCCGATATTTTCTTTCTTTTTAGGCTTTTCGAGCATTGTAATGACCCTCATAAACTTCCTGTGCTTATCTTCCCTGAAGGAACATGCATCAACAATACATCAGTCATGATGTTCAAGAAAGGATCTTTTGAGGTTTGCATCTATTTTTAACTGCCAAGTAACTTTAAAAACTAGGTTGGAACTACGATCTATCCAATTGCAATGAAGTACGATTCTCGCTTCGGAGACGCTTTCTGGAACAGCAGTGAGCAATCTTGGTTCGAATACATAATGAGGATGATGACTTCATGGGCTATCATTTGCAATGTATGGTACCTCCCTGCTATGACAAAACTGGTGAGTGAATAAGAACAACACTTCTCACTGATCAAGAATCTTATTTAGCCAGAAGAAGATGCTGTAGACTTTGCTAATCGTGTTAAAAAAGAAATTGCTCGTAAAGGAGGACTTGTTGATCTGGAATGGGATGGACAGTTGAAGCGAACTAAAGTTCCAAAAAAATTAGTAGCAAAACAACAAGAAAAGTACTTTTTTGATTTTTAATTAGATTTAAAATCTTATTTTAGATATGCTCATCGAATGTCTCGTTACACCTCCACTTCTGTTGACGCTTCAAAGTTTGGAATTGAAAACAACGAAGAGGATGATGAAGACTATGGTTTATTATATTGAAAAATCATATTCAACATTGAAAATTACAGTATCATTCCTCTCCCCAACAACATTAGAAAATTTGCCTGAAGATGCAGTGGTTTCTGATGAAGAAGAAGAGGAAGAAGAAGAAGAGGAGGATGAGGCTCTCAGTTCTCCAACAGGAAATCCTCTTTCAGACGCGCCAATATCGGATCTCAACACTGGTAGTGTTTTTAATCCTTTTATAAAATTAAAGAACAACTTCAGGCTTGCACATGCGTAATCCGGTTACTACACATGAAAATTAATTGCCAAAAAAAAGAAAGAAAGTTTGAATAGTTAACTTTAACTCAAAATCACAGAGTTTTGGCCTTTTTTTTTAAATTTCACTTCCATGTTTGCCATCATAAGATTATATCATTTTGTTCAAACAGAGTTTGTTCTTTTACCCTTATCAAAGTTATTACTCCGAGTGTTCACTATAATATATTATAAGAAGCAATGTTTTCAGATACCCTTTTTTTGAATTCTTTTTTATATTTTTTCATAGATTAGTTCGCTATAACGGGTAAACAACGAAAAAAGAAAATAACTGCCAACCAAATGTACAATTATGGTGAACTATTTTGTTTTTTTTTATCTAATAAAATGTTTTTTCCATACATCTTGATGAGATGACAGTGCACTACTTGGGAAGGACTCATTCATTAACCAATCTCATCCAGAATGTTCTATCAAAAAGCATAAATTTCTTTTTTTTTTCTTTAAAAGAAAAAGGAAAGTATGACCTTGTCCTAACGGAAAAAAGGACACTTCATATATAATGTTGCCATGTTTTCTACAAGTATGCTTCCTTCTTTCATTCATTACAAAAATATAAGTACAGGTAAAGGTTCATCTTCGAACTATCTCTATCATAGCGATTGGCGATAGATAATGAAATGGTCTAAATGAAATAAAAAACAACACGAAAAAAAAGAAAACATCCGACCTTGAGATAGCTATCTATTAGATTGAATCAAGCAATTATATGAAGATCATATAATTATAGCTGCCTGAAACTATCTCAAGTTATTGGATCATTTTCCTTTTTTTCTTGTATTTCAAGTGAAAGTTATTATTTCGATTGGTAGTACGTGAATCATTCATGTGAATGGTCTTGAACACTTGACATGACACATTCATTCGCTGAAGCGCGCTACCTTTTCAATTAAAATGTTATTTGGAAAGAAATAGTTCTGACTAGATATTATCTCAAAAAAACTGTTGTCTAGTAATCATTTCGAAATAAATGAAAGGGTTTTCAACGATATGTCTCCGACAAGTAATTTCTTTTTAGCGAGAACAAGATTCAAGGCAAGTAACGAAACTGGCAGATAGGGGAAAAAGGAACTTTACAACATATTCTCGGTGATGGACATTTGGTCGCATAACCTCCACCTTTCCATCTATACCTGGCCTAGTCAGAATTTCGCGTTTCTTCATTGTTCACGTAACCACTAACTGGCAACATTTTCTTTTCGTTGTTTATCTCCAATCAATTATCATCTCAATAGCTTGCATAGCATGTAACACCATATATTTCAGAAAAAGATGTTCCTGTATAGATTTATCTTATTTTCCCTTATCTCATCATCTCTTGCTGTAATTGACTACTATCACACATTATTATATGGAGAGAGACTTAAAGGATTTATAAAGGTATGAACTGTCCTTCGATCAAACTAAGCTTTCATCCTTGATTTCTAACCTTCTATACTTTCAGATAAGCGAATTGAAAGATGATAACTTCTTAGTCTCATTCGATATTGTATCGGGTTCAGTAGATAATATTAAATGGGCATTGCATATGTCATCAGCACCTTATGATATGACTATTATGACTGATAATTGTAAAAGGGTCAAGAAGAGCCCTCATTTCATGAGAGACTTGCCACTGGAACCGAAGACAGTTCCAGGTAATCTATTACATGGTCATACCATCGTTCTCAACCACAATGATGAGGTAAAGTTTTGATATTGATATTATCGTTTACAGTTTTTGTTGCAGGTTTTGGCTTGTGCTACTGTAATATTACCGAACAAGCAGTTACTATCTGCATCATTCCATGCTGAGGTTTTAGAAGGACATATTCATGTAGTGCGAATGTCTGACAATCATGTTCGTAATCTTCAGACACATATTACATTCTTTAAAGAATAATTTATTGTTTAGGCTCGTTTATTACCTGATCTGCGATATCATTCGTTCATTGATGAAGAAACATTGTACAAACAAATCATTCTATGGTCATTTGTAGAAGACTGTAACGATTCCAATACAACGCAGATATCAGATGGTACAGAAATAGGAATCGATTCAAGAACAACTATTACAGTTGGTTAGTCATATCAGTTTTTCCTAAAGTCGTTATATATGACAAAATGTGGTTTTAGAAGTTAATAATGAGTATTCGCTGGAGAACCTTGCCCTGTATTCTGAAGGAAAGATGTTCGCTTGCATTCCTTTGGAAGAAGTTGAACCTCGAGTACTCATGTCTGTTAACCTGACGCTCATACAAGTATGATCTTTCTTCATTTATGAAACATGAGCGAAATAACATTGTAGCGTAACCCTTATGAACCTGTTTATGCAGGGTCAGAACCTTTCCCAGAGACTCTCCATATAAGGTATGTAACTCTCCGTTTGAAGTGGAGATCAATATCACTTTTTTCAAGAGATGATTGTTTGGATTACTCAACAGAGTCTGTTCATCATATTTTCAAAAACTATTATCCTTCTGTTACTATATTTGGAAGTGAAAGCATCGTTTTGAAAGTCGAATCATACTTTTATTGAAAACATTGATAGAATGCTTTAGTCATTGAATCAGAACGATTTATGTAGTGTTCTTCGTCCTCACTTCCCTCGCCCAGCTTCAACAACCTACTTCATGAACCCTATTATAGGAAGGTGAGTTGGTATCAAAGTAAATAGAGGAATTAAAACTTTGAAGAGTAACTATCGTTGATACGGAGGACGAAATACTCGTAACAGGAGAGCTGAGGCATCTAATGGAAACATCTTCAACAAGAGCAACTATTCAGGTATAAAGAAATTTCAAAATCAATAACTGAATTACTTGTATTAGTTCTCTTCCAATGAAATAGGTGAAAATGGATGTAATGAAGATGTCGTTTGTGAAGATTGTAAAGAAATAGTTGATGCTGCTATAATTGTAGGAAAAGAAGAAAAAATGGGTAAAAATATATTTTCATTACTACAATGCTGAATCTATTTAGTGTCCCTTAGTGGTGTCATCACATGGTTTGACATATCCACTGTCAAATCAGCCATCATTGATCTCCAATGGACGAAGGTTGTTTTGAATAAAAAACTTTTTGCCATAAAATCTTATTGCTTCCAGATTTGTGCAAATATGACATATCTACCCAATGGTTCCATTTCAGCTCATGCTTTACTTAAGAGCTTAACTACGACATCGTCTAAAACGGTTGCATCCATCGTTGCTATGGAGTACCCTGCGAACAACTATACTGAAGTGAAACAATTAGTTGACTAAGCTGGATAATTCACATTGTAATTATAGGTTATCGTTAACAAACGCCAGCCGTTTGACTCGGCTCAAGCACACAGTCGACCAATTGACATGACAATCACAAGTGGTCATCCTTGTGGAGATCAAAACATCGGACCATCTAAACCTGTGTTCTGGGCACCTCGTTTAGCCCAAATTTTGGCAAGCCCATTGAATGACACAAGGTTACATAGAAGGATTGAATAGAAAGATTGAAATGATTCTTTCAGTGTTTTTATTTGGTTCAACATGATAACGGGTCTTCACAGTGTTCTGGGAACATCTGTATTATTAGCTGATAATAACAAAGTTTTTTGTGGAGATTTCCAGCCATTAACTGAAAAAGCAGTTGCTTTTGCATCATTCAACGTATCGTTTACAGGATACATGAAGCTTGTCAGTTTTTCGTTTATGGCTACTCACACTCCACCCCCTCCCTATATTTAGACTCAATATATGGCATCTAACTATGCAAGCGGTATGCCAACTCAAGGGTATTACCTTTTAAGAAGAGGAAGTTATGCGAACCGACAATTGACCAATCGCCCGATCGCTGAAGTATAAGGCAATTACATGTTTTCGAAAATTATTATTGTTTCAGGAAAATCTATTTTGGGATATTGTTAAAGAGGGTTTCACTTCATGTGATACTGCAGCTATTTATAATCCATTCGAAGTGGAGGTTTGCAAAAGATATGTCCTATTGTCTGTCAATAAGAAGTTAAGGATGCTTGCACTGCTGAAACTGTTGATTCTTGTCCATTAGGCAATGCAACAGCCAAATCCAATTTGTTATCTACTGGATCTCGAAAACATATATTAATCAAAGATTTGCCATTAACAGGGCCATATTCAGGTATATCAATCAAATATCATATTAGCTATATGAAATGGTTAAGTTGTTGGAAAATATTTGAGAATTCGTTCATTGGCTAATGAGAGTCAAGTTGAATGTAAGCCCATTGTAACGCTTTCAGAGGTAATACATTGAATAAGACATTGAGTATTGAAGAGTATTAATGTATTCAGGCTACTTTCCGTTGGCAAGTAAAAGCTGGATTGACTTTAACGGATGTTCAAAATGCATTTGCTAAAGCAGTTAATTTATCTGATTATCAAGTTTGTTTATTGTTATATTACTTCTTTCCATATATGGTAATGACTGTTATAGATAGAAGTTGATTATACCAGAGAGCCAACACAATCAAATTGCATCATTTATAATATCAATTTGCTAGGTAATTGAATAATTTGCACATATTGATGACTGAAACTGTTTATTTGCAGCTGAAGAGAGCACAATTGCAAGTGTGCAAGACAACTTTGATGGTGAAAAGAGTCATTTCAAGCAGGCACATAAACTTGAATGCGGCGAAGATAGAGTATCTCCATTGACGATATTAAAGAAATCAAATGAAATGAAATATGTTTCAATTATATATTTCCTTCTCTTTACCCTCTTCATGTAATTAATATATCTCATTTATAATCCCAATGTACGTAGTATATGGCGTTCTGCTTCTGACAGCCGCCAACACAGATTTTTATTGTTCAAAATGAAAGATTCTTTCCTCTTCATCTTCTTTTCCTTATTTTTTTTTATTATTTCTATGTATGTGTATGTCTGATTTATTCGTTAAATAATATTATTTTCGAATAACTTTTATTATTTTTCAAATAAAAAAAATACTGGGCACTATGCCAAACAACCACCGACTCATATGGAATATGAAATGGAAACCCCTACAGCTGTCTATTCCTGAACATATTGACGTTAAAATCATTGAAATAGGCTGTTTAATTATGATAAAATAGAACAATTTAAAGATTATAGATTATCTTCAACATCTGATATCTATAACATATAATTAGTAATGAACACATATATTTCTCTCTCTTTCCATATATGGCCAGGTGTTATTCACAATCTTTTTAATTGAATCAGCTAGATTTGAGACGTTTTGCTAATATACATTTGGTTTTTGTTCATGTTCTGCAAACATATTCTCATTATATGTCATTACAATGCCTTCTATAGATCTATATTCGCTCATATTCTCAGCTATTTCTTAAGATTAGCATATTGCGAAAGAGGTAGTAAGAGAGAGAGAGAGATAGAAAGAGATGAAGTGAGGGAGGGGGAGGGAGGGTAGGAAGAAAAAGTTTTTTTTATTTCATCACTCCATCAAGTCTTCATTGCTTCAAACAAATTTTCACAGAGTTCTCTATCATTTCGTGGAATTACTAATGTATTCTGCATTAATATAATATATTTTGAATGACTTTTGTTTCATATGCTTTCCCTCCCCTCTATCTTCTCTTCTATATTCAGACTAACTATATGTATATATTCTCTCATATGTTATATCTTATATGCGCTTTAGTGTAGAGATGAAAAATGACCGTTTAATAATCTGACACATGTGACCAATCAAGCCTCACATGGTCTAAACAGCAGTGACCAGTTTGTTACTTAGTAACAGATGTGGGGGTTGTGCTGGTCACCTTGAGTCCATCTAAGCCGCAAGCACCTGCCCAGTCAATTATCTTGTTTTCTCTTTCATATGCATGCTCTCTATCCATTTTTACTTTTCCTTTGCATCTCGAGACTCTGACATCTCTTTCAACTCTTCTAGTTGTGTCTTTTTAGTATGGATTTCAGTTAAGCTTCTATAACTATATGAATAACTATATCATATAATGTAACTATATATTATATAATTATATTATTACAGATCTATATAGATGAGATGCGGATATTGATTATACTGATATTTCTAGGGGAAGCAATATATTCTTCATGTGATCAGTTATGTGAAAATGGTTTGTTGTTGTTTTCATATATCCCTAATCAGAAAATCATTTCACTCTCTCTCTCTTAATATTATATTTATCAATTCATTCTATCTTTTAAGGAATTATTATGTATGCTGCCAATAGGAGTCTGCAATATTTAACAACGCCTAACTATGAAAATGGATTTCTTCCGCATAACTTCACTTGCTCACTCGTCATCAAATCAATTGATTCATCACGGGTCTGGATTAACATAGAAGAATTAAGTATGGAATTCCAAGTATTTGATGGATGCTTAGATCATATAACTATTCTCAACAGTACGATACTTTCAATCATCTCCATCATAGCTTATCATTCATATTTCAGCTTCATCAAAAGTTTCAAGGAAAGAGGACGTACTAGCTACCTTATGTGGTCAAGTTCATAACAAGCCGGTTGAAACCTGTCTATTCATAGCCGTTATTAAGAAAATATATTTTTAGTTTGTATCTAACACGGAATATATGCGCATAGAAGTTTTCACGGATATGGTGATAACTTCTAGGGGGGCTAAAGTATCTTATCGATCATTACGTATGTTTCATTATCATTCATTCTTACGCAAGCACTTGAACTAATGACAATTGCATTGGAAAATAAAATAAAATTTTAGCTGATGATGAATGCGATGATGGGTGGCATGAATATAAGACTAAGTGCTTTTATCTTTCGCCTGACTCATCGGCATATAGTTGGTCTGAAGCTCAGGTATGTAAGATGAAACATCTATCAAGTACATAACTACTTCAGAGTGAATGTGTCAATCAACAATCAAACCTCGCATCAATTTCTCAATGGAACGCATATCAGGATGCTTTATGTGAAGAATAGTATTCAAACCAATATTTTATTTTTGTTTTGCTTAAGTGTGGCTGGAAGGATTGAATATAACAGATACTGTGTGGTTGGGGTTATCGGACATAGTTCATGAAGGATACTTTGCTGGGCTAGATGGAAGTCATGATTTTCCATTCAATTGGGGGTATGTGATAGAGAACCTCATGATTTATATAATTTCTTTCCAGCTCTCCATCTAGCTTTCAAAATAGTGACATCAATGATTGTGTGTACGTTGATATGGGGATGACAAACATAACTGATGGAGAAATGTTTCAACTGAGTGATTGTCGTGAACGTCGAATGTATTTATGTGAAAAGAATAAGAGTATGTGTTCAATGTAATCAGAGGCTTCTAGACTCTTTACGTTACAGATGGTGTTACTTGGACAGCGCCAGATACTACCGATATGGTTAGAAGTGGTGCTCAAACATGGAATTTCGATATAGCTTTCTGGATTTTATTTGTTCTGACAATCTTACTCATCATTTTGATATGCTCAGCATGCGGCTTAGGTTTATATATATGATATTAACTTGTTTGACTTACCCTGTTTCAGCTTTGAAAAGACATCAACGACAATCAAGAGTTAGTGCTGTTGATGATGCAGCAGTTCGTGTTCCCGTTAACACCCGCTCGACAACGCATTCCGACCGTGAGAGATATACTGAAAACTTTGATACGTATAATATAGCTCTAGGTAATCTACAAAACAATCAAGAAAACTTGAGAAATGCACCTAAACCCCAACAAACTATTAGGAGTGTGGAAGTTGCTACTGGTAACCTAAGAGCTAATCTTCTGTTTCAAACAATTATTGTTAAGAGCCAACTGTTGTTCCCGTGCCTGTTGTACGACCACAACCGGAACTTGTTCCAAGAGAATCCAACACTCCTATCATGGACAGATCAGAAGTTGAGGAGACATCTAGAAACGTAGAAGTTCCGAAGAATATGATCTACGTTCAAACAAAAGACAATCTGCCGAAGTTGGGTTCAAATCAATCAAATGTTGAAGGATTACAGAGTCGTGAAAGAACTATGATGACGATGCACACAAGGTAATAGAAATGATGGTAAATGAGTTAGTTTATGTTTCTTTTCCAGAGACGAGTCATTCACAAGATCGAAAAGAGCTGGAGAGATGTTCGGAAGACCCAAAATGAATGTTCTCGATAACATCTCAGCTATCTCATTAGATGATTTTTGGAGCAATCAGTCTAGCAATGAGCAAAATGAAAAAAGAAATAATATATAAGCTTATCCATAGATCATTGTTATCACTGATGTTAGTTGCCATTTTATAACTTACGTGATCTCGCATTTGTCATTTCTTACTATATCCATAGTGTTATTATGATGAAATCCCTGCTACGATTCAAATATGCCATATGTTGCCAAGTGAATTTCTATGTGTCTGATTCTAATTAGATCTCTTACTCACCCACCTACTTGTTACAGTATGATGCCAAAAAAACTTTTTTTGGCGCCAAATTATTTTTTTAGAAGAATGTTCAAAAATATTTAGTGTAAATTATATTTGTTTAACATATATATATATATTATGGTGTAAACAGCATGCTACTATTGATATCATGTAATAAGCATGCATACCTTTTCTAGATGCTTATATACATGTGATTGTTGATGAAAACTGTTCAAAATGAAACATCGATTCTTTCATATTTATATTATTATTATAAACAATTAAGAAGCTTCATTGATTAACAAATACATTTACTATAAATTAGATACTAGATCAAAGATCATAAATAAGAATCGTTCTCTTTTCATATATTCTCAAATAAATAGTTTCGTAATATACATCTACTCTAGTACTCCAAGCATCATCATGTAAGCCCATGGTTCTGTTCATCGTTAGGTTTTCAATAATAATATAGATTGAGCTTATTGAGTTCGACAGTCATCTTGTGTCTTATTAGGACGACGTGATCGGAACGAGAAGTTATTAGTTCTCCTTAACAGAGTATTAGCTAAGTCTTTGTACTTGACATCTCATCATTACCTCATTAGACTAGTAGATCTTCTTGGAGTTATTTGATCGTTTTGTCCATCGTTGCGACCAGCCGAGCGGGCCTTTTAACATATTTAAATTGATTAAAGAAATGCATTGTCTTACTCTGAATGATTGGTTTCTACGGAATTGTTGCTCTGGTAAGAGGAACAGAGGAGAAGCTGGCGGATGACTCATAGCGTTCTTAGCCGCTTCATCATGTCCTTTCTTAATGTAAATGCTTAATTAGGAGATGATAGAAGTTCAAAAACCTTCTTCTGTAGTAACATGTGCACTTCCATAATTCCAGTAAAAATTTCTCGAATAGATTGATTTGTCTTAGCAGAAACTTCAATGTATCTGACAGAGCTTGGAAGGTGTGAAGTGAAAGCAACAGCAGTTGGCTCATTTATCTTGAAAGCGCATGAGTTGTTAGATTCATCTATTAAGTATCTTTAGAAACTTTTTTATTTTCCACGTCTCCTTTGTTTCCGACAATCATAATAGGAGTATACTCCAAGTTACTTCTGATCATATTGATTTCTCTCCATAAATCAGACATCTGGAGATATGATGATGATGATAATGATGGATTGAGTAAAGTGAACCTCTTTGAAACTATTAACATCATCAGTTCCAAATACGAGGCATATAGCATGAGCAGAATGTATGGCAACCTTTTGCATATCAGGAAAATTAGTGTTTGTATCATGAATCTCCAAATTAATGATAGAACCCTTAAGATAAGGATGTAAATAAGTGTTAGAAAGAGAAATGTTCAAACATTAACGCGAAATGTTTCATGATGTAAATCATCAATCGTTTCTTTATACTTTTCACTAAAAGTATTGTGTAGAAAACGATTTATAATCGATGTTTTTCCACTTTTACTTGGACCCATGAAGACCAGACGGAAACGGCTCATTATCTGAAACGTTTGATGTTTAAGGTTAATTCATTAATATGAAAAACAGAAATTGGACTACACACTCTATTAGTACTAGTTGATGATAAAGTGAATGATGAAATGAAGTAAGAAAAGAAGGTTTTGGGAAGGAGTAAGGAGAACTATAGAGAGAGAGAGAGAGAGAGTTTTAGAAGATGTTTTAGATAATGAGTTTGTTAAAGGAATTTTAATTCTTGCCCCTGTTTGTACTATTAATCCTAATTCGACGTTTGTTTTAATTGAAAGTGAATACTTTCTTAAAAAGTGTAATGTATACTTAAGAATAGATCGTATTTATTTACAACAAAAAAGAAAAAGAAGAAGAGGATCAAAAGTTGGTTAAGAGGGAAACTCATTAATGAAACTTCATTTTCTTCTTCTTCTTTTTTTTTTTAATTTTTAATTCTCTGTCTGTCTGTATACGGCATGAGATGATGAAGTTGTCTGTATATATCAATACATATGTATATGTATGTTTGTAATTGAAGAAGTCTGGCAAAGGTAGTTGAGAGGGATTGCTTAAAGGGTTGTTGGGGGGATATGATAATGCCTGATGAGGATGATGATTATGAGGATGAATATATAAGGAAGTCAGTTTTTCGGGATTTGCTTACATCATATGTTGAATGAATCAAAGATAGTTGGCCATCTTATACATTTTCATTTTGATTCTTGAGTGCCCAGTCAGTTCATATACGTGTGTGTGTGTATGTGTATGTGTGTGTGTTAAATAGAAAAAAATGAAATATAAATATATATATATATATATATATATATATGTATATATATATGTTATATCTGTATATCTATTTTACCTAGGATTGCTTCTGATGGCTAAACACACACAACTGACAACTAATCAGATTTTTGGATGAATAAAGAATATTTTGTTATCATATCTATATGCCATTATGACAAAAGAAAGATTAGCAGTCAGTGGATGGGGATGGCTGTTGGCGGCCGTATATTTGGAAGCCAAACGGGCCAAATAAGCATTTATATTTATGTACAACGAAATCAAAAAGATTTCATATTATTATAATCATGTTAAAATGAGAAAATATGGCTTCAGATGTGTTAGAGATGAAAGAAAATTTTATTGATGGATAAGAGAGAGAGAGAAAGAGAGAGAGAGAGAGGATTGTGTTAGAGAGAGAGAGAGAAAGAATCTATATGATATTTCATTGAATAGATTGATCCATCAATATAGAATATCAATGGCATTGCCATATCTATCTATTTCAGATATTGGAAAAGGTGTCATTACTAAACTATGTGAAGAGCGGTATGTATGATATTCAAATAGCTAAGCTAACCTATATGGAATGAACAGATGAGATGCAAATGAAGAGTAAGAGGAAACTGAAAGGAGGATTGTATTTGAATATACAAATTGTAGGTAAAGTTATTAAATGCAATATCCGACAGAAAAGCTTTATCATGGCGAAAAAATAATGGAACGGAAGGAAATCGCTTAACACTATCCCATCCCTCCCGAAAACACATATTTGGCAGACTGCGAACTTTTCATACAATTGTAGATGAATAAATGCATTAATGATGTAATCATCATCACTTTAGTAAGGATAAGGATAAGGAGTAAGAGTTTCATTCCATTTTTTAGCATCTACATCATCTTCATCCTTCTTTCCTTAAATGGAAAAGCTTTTAATCGTTTGTGTTAAGGGCCGGAAATTAGATAAAGAAGTTAAGAAAAATAGCTCAAAAACGATAAGAAGGAAGTAAATGCAGCAGATACGAATCAGAATGACGAGTCGTCCAAAAAGGTTTTTGGCTTATAATAGTTATCTAAGTCAGTTATTTTTGAATTCAAACACGAAAAAGATTTTAGTGAGAAGAATAAAACAAAAAAACAAAACGATAAGCCGTTTTTACAGTAAAGAAACGGCCAAACCAGGAGGAATGAGATGGTTGGAGGGGAACACACATACACATACACATACACATACACACATATGGAAGCTAGAAGAACATGAAAATATTTATGTCGTGATTGTTCAACTTGGAATTCTGGATAAGCTGTGATATGTTTAAAGGAATTGTTTTAAGGAAGCAAAAATCGTTGTTGATAAGGAAAAATGAGGTTGGTATGAAGAGAGAGAGCAATGTGAGACATGATCATAGAGATATCTAAATGAATTAATTATTATGAGTTACATTAGTAACGTGAATAGACCAGTGATTCTTTTAATTTATGACATGAAATCACAGTATAACGTTAAATGCATTCAGAATGCGTTTTGTTGGATAATGAGAGGAGGACGAAGAGAACGACAAGGACATCTAGACATGTCATTGTATCTAAATGTCGTCATGTAAGTTGGTGTTGTTCGTTGTTGCAATCATTATCAACACGAAACATATAAGCGCTCAACTGGCAACTGAATGATAGAGAACCAAAAAATGGAAAAGTTATCATGTATCACTTTGTTATTTACTAATTGAGCAAGCTTCGATGTGTGAAAATTAAAATGAAATCTGAACCAGCTTGAGAGAATTTCATTTTTCTATTCATTCCTCATTCGCAACAGCAAGTTTGGGAGAGAACAAAAAAGTTTTTGTGAATCAACTAAAGACTGATATGATGATAATTGATAATCACGAGTGAGCTTTTTCTCTCTCTCTCTCTCTATACATCTTTCTCTCTCTCTCTCTCTATCTCACATCTTTCTTTTTTCCGAAGAAAATAATTTTTTTGTTTCTCTCTCTCTTCATAATTTTCGATCATTCCAGAAAACATGAAAACTTTTAATAATATCCTTTTCGATAAGACATCTATAATCCCAACTTGTACTTTCTTGTGTTTCTTCTCTCATATCTCCCCTCATCCATCCTATTCCAGATATAGTATTAGATGTTGCTAGATCTTTTTTTTTTCCTATTTTTCTATTTTTCTGCTATCATCATGCGAAAAGAGCCTTTTGCATCATAATTGATTTGATAATGAACTTCATGTTATCATGTTATTTCCATTTATGGATAGATATACCTGTTGATCCATTTGCATATCATCTGTATCTGAAGATGAGAGCATTATCATTAACTACATATTATCTATTTATTGACTATGTTGTTTATGTATGAACTATGTTTTGATGTGATATGTGTTTGTTATCGACAGATTATTTTCAGATTATCTCCGCATGGGATCCTTCCGTCAACTGTTTGATGATGATCTGAAGCTGTCTTACAGCTGCATGCCATCATATCATTGATAAATACATTTACTCCCACAATCTGCTGGAATCTTCGGTATGTCTCTCTCTCACATCTCAGCATGCTTATATACATCTACTTTCTAATTTCTTTATTCAAAAAGCGAAAATAGCTATTTATTACAATGCGACTTACTATGTAAAAGCTCCCCTTCATATGCTACTAAAGCTTTACAACATTATTAATTAACATAATTAAATAAATAAAAGCAATTTATAGATAGAGATATTTAACGTAGCATAAGCAGATTTTTCATTGATGAAATGAATTTATTCAGTTGTGGCTCAGCCGTTGGGCCAACCATCTTAATCAGGTCAGATTTCAGGTGTTCAAGTTCACGTCTCGCAGGTCCAGCATAATCCTTAATTAATGACTAGACTCGTCAGAAACCTTCTAATGAACTAACTAATTCATGATCGATGGTGGACAATCCTTTTCGCCAATTTGGAGTCATATAGCTGCAACACGGCGTATGAGTCGGATCAAAAACTCCATCTTTTGTTGTTTGCGTTCCAATAGATGTATGTACTACATCATTAATGACGACATTTTCTTGAGCAGAAACAGCCATACCCTGAAGAAGAAACAGATATTGATTGATGAGATGTTTAAGATTAGATGGGATACCTCTTTGACTTCGTTTTCGATGGAATGAAGAATGCGTATGATACTGTTTGCCCGCTTACGGAAGCATGCGAAGAAGGCTTCACGATCGTTTGGAATACGATTCTTTCCGCGACCCATCGCAATAGCTGTAGAAATGGTATATATGAGAAGAACTAATTGTAATTTATAAGAGCGGACAGAAAGTTTAAACGACTGCTTCAAATGAAGTTTGCGAGTCTATTTTATAGGGTCTGTGTCCTTTTAAACTGCTTTCTGATGACATGTGGTAATGAGTTTATGAAAACCCAGACTATTAATACTGGATTAACATTCGCATAAAAGGTTATGTGAGATGAAAAAAATTTTCCTTTTTTATAAAATATGCATTAGCATAAAAGGCTATGGGCACTCTCTCTCTCTGTTTTGCGTCCAAAAGGAAATTGAAAGCAAAAAATGGGTATACTGTATCATTAGCGCACAAAATGGTTTCCTAATGCTTCGCAGATAAGCTTGGATTTATGAAGTGAGAGAAACGAAGATGAGAAGCTGGATAATTCGTGGTCCCGTATATAAGCCTTATACGATTCTTCCGACAAAAGATTCAGAAAGCTTATTACGCATGCACGTCATTGAATAGGAAGCCAATAGCATTCAAAGATTTCTTGATTACTAAGGAGCGTATAGAGAGATAGAGAGAGAGAGAGACAAATATTTTTTTTTTGTAGAGGATCCAAAGTATAACACAAGGGTGTTCATTTCTGAGAACTACTAGCTTATTTAAAATAAATAGACCCGAGAGTCCTTATAAACCATGTGCACCCGCCCCATAACAAGACGATGTGAGTTTCTCAGCTCATCCAAAATTAAATCAAAGGACCCTGACTAAAATGTTTATACGACTCTCAACATCTCTCTCTCTGCAGACAGCACAATTCGTTTAATAGAAATACATACTTCAATCTCTTGATACAATGGAAGAAGCTCTATATAGTAGAGCACTTTTTGAATCAATGAGATTATTGTAAGGAATACACATATAGAACAAAAAAAGAAATATATAAAGCAGATGTTCCATGATGACAGACTTTATGTTGTCTCAACAAGAGAGAGAGAGATATGTAGAGAGAGAAAGGCAAAGGAGAAGATGAAGAAGTTAATTGCTTTTCTACTATACAGCTATAATAAGCACCTGTGATGATACATGACTGGTCATTTTCTATTGTCAATCTTCTTCGTTTTATTAGTTTTCAAAACCGTTTATTGTCGTTTCCGAATGAGATTTGGAGATCACACACACACATACTCATTCACACACACACATACATAGACCATATATAGAACGTTTGTCATTTATACTAACGAAAAACAATAATATACTTTTCAAAAGAAAACAAACATAATGAAATAGTACAAAGTGCATTACAATCAGAAGACGAAGAAACAGCTTTGAACAGAGAGATAGAGAGAAAGATGGTTGTTATGAAGGAAGAGGTTGGCTGAGAGAATTGAGATACAATGCCAATGACAGAAAAGGACTCTCTGCTGTAACCAGATGGATAGAATTAACAAAAACTGTGAAAGAAGTTTTGTGCACATATAAAGTGAATAAAAAAAAAGAAGAGGAAGAAGAAGAAGATTGAAAAAGGAGAAGATGGATTAAGATAGAGTTAGAGATGATGAAGGAGGAAGAAGAAAAAGTTAGAAGTGATTTGTAAGAGAGAGAAAAGGGATGATGAACGAAAAAGTGCAATACGCAGGCAGGATAATTGTGGATGGAAGAGGACAGAGACCGGCGAATAGAAACGAGAAAGAAGACTGCAGAGGATAAAAACTTAACAAAGAGAGGATGCTAACAAGTAAGAGAGTGAGAGCAAAACAAAATTAAAGATGAGAAGATGTTCAATGAGGAGATACTAAAAAGATGTTTTAGGAAAAATGAAATGGAAGTAGGAAAGAAAGAGAAGCATGTCGGGGAGGTCTTGTACTAATCAAAAAGGGCTAAGGAAACGTTCAGCGGCCGTTTCGCCAGTAATTTCAACTTCTCCATATCGAAAACGATTGAGCTCTTCAATAACCTTTTTCGTTTTTTTCTTTCTTATTCGAAAAGAGAAGAAGAGAACACTACATCCGTATTACATTTCTAAACATGCTATAGAACTTTGAGTCTTGAGAGAAAAACAGAAGAAAATATAGATTAGATACTACTTTCGGTATAAGGTTTCATCAAGGGAAACAAGGAAGAATGAGGGTGGCCAAGAGAGAGAGAGAGAGAGAAAGAGGGAGAGAGAGAGAGAGAGAAGATGGAAGGATGAAGAGGAAGTCTTCACTGTATTAACAATTCCTTCTTTCATGTCCTTTCAAATAGCAGCAGATGAACGCAAAACAGCACAAATAGAGTTTAAAGTAATAAAAATAGAGGAAAATGACCTATCGTCAGCGTTTATTTCATCTACCATATTGTAGAATTGAATATTTTTGTCCAACAAAATAAATTTCAAAACTATTATATTGCCTTCGGAACGATCAATGGCAATACTTAATTCTATTTTGAACGCTTACATAGAAGGCTGGCACATTTCTTAGAAAATGTACTTCTCGGGCTAGAAATGCATCATATAAGGGTGTGAGAGTTAATAATTCATTTTGCTTTAGGAGTAGGCGGAGCAGATGGAGGAGCTATGGAGCTGAAGGAACTTCGTGAAGATTCAAGAGAAGCAACGGAACCTCTGAAATATTAATTTGGCGTTTAAAACAAAAAGGGATAAGATGCGAACCTAAAATCTTGAGAATCTAGAATTTCATAGTAATACATTATTCTGCACTTGTGATTGCCCAATCCAAAATCGATAGATGTACTATGGTTATGATGATGGGTGTCTCGTCCTTGCTAAATGAGAAAATGGTTTTTTGAGGAAAACTGTTAAGCTTCTTACGTCATTCAACTTCCATTGCAGGATATAAGTGCCAAGCTTCGAACAGTAATGAGAGCCCTGAAACAGTGTGGAGGTAACCAGATAACGTAAAACGAAATTTTACCTGCATGGAATCTCCTTCTTGGAATGTAACTGATTCTTCTTCGATTGTCAAGTTGACATCCTTTTGCAATGTAGGATCACATGCCACTTCGAATTTTGTGTGATTCGACAAGAATCCGTCCATCATTCCAGCTGTCGGAGATGTAGGGCTATGTGGAGGAGAAGATGAAGCACTCTTTGTTTTCTCCAGCATCTGAACATTACTGTGAGAAGTTGTTGAAACTAATGTCCTACTTTATCAGTATGATATACGGCGAATGAGCAATCATTCTTGAGAACATCGAAGTCCCAAGTCAGAACACAACCAGTAGTACTGATCGGGATAACTATCTAAACATGGTAATTGAATTCAAACATCTTTCTTCTCTGATTGAGATTATCAAGAGATGTCTACATACTTCGAAAGGGGCTGAACGGCTGATGGCCGCTTTGCTATAGTTCGATGCTAAGATGTCAGAATCTTCAGAAATCTCTTCAGTATCTCTGTACAAAGCTTTAGGTATATGTCCTCCATTATTGCAATTGGTGATGCATGTTCCACCTGAAGACAGAAAGAAGTCATAAAAACATTTTTCAATTTCAAGAGTACCCAAGAAGTCCGGAATGTATTGTTCAGCAATGAACTTTCTGATTTCATCATTACAACTCTCACCGCAGTTAATCATTATCTTATTTCGTGTATTCTCATGGATGAGTGGTGAGATCAAAGTCCATAATACTGGAAAAACTCTTGGAGCTCGAACAACTAGAACTTGTCCCATTGTCTCTGGATAGTTTGCCTAGAAACAATATTATTATTCGATGCGAATCAAATATTCTATTATACTTCAACGATTTCAATGATTTTAAGCAATGCTTGAATTCCTGGTCGCCACAAATGACGCATACTTAAACCCTCTAGATCAATCAGCAGAGTCCATGAACTGAATTTGGAATTTACACTTGAAAAATAAATCTCAAAAACCTTATAGGAGTTCCAATGGCTGCAGTTGCACTTGCAGTTCTGTTCAATCCTTCTTCACAAATTGATAATGTGAGCTTGACTACATCTTCGACACCACATGATCTTATAAGACCTTTAATGTCTAATGCACCTAACCGTAACAAGAAAACAGGTCGACCAGTCTACAATTATAACTGAATAAGATGTTTGCATAAGACATCCGATACCTTATCACTTTGATGCCAACAACCGGGGAAGAATTGAGCTACCACAGAGTTAGCAGTCCATTCCTGCAAATTTGAATATGAAAAGAGAAATTTGTTGGTGTAATACCTGAAGAAGCTTATCTACACTATGTTGCTTTCTCCATATAATACTATTATGAACCATCTCTTTGGCTTTTGCCACATCGAAGTCGCGAGCTCTCAGAAATCTCAACAAATGCGCATCGTTAGGAAGTTTTCCCTTTAAAAAAAGTGTTTCGATCAGTTGCTGTTTGCAGAATATGATAGAGAAACCTTATGATGGCTTTGCAAACTATATTTTAGTTCACATAATCGAGATTCTTCCAAAGGACTTAGTTGACCAAGAAATCGTCTGATATATTCCGCTTCTAGTTTGGATTCAGCTGAAATATGACAAAATAATTATTTTGTAGCAAAAAATAACAAAAAAATTTTCTGAAAAATAGAATTTCAGTTGTATACACAACTACTTGAAGCATATCGATTGATTTAACGTTATATCAATATAATATAAGAAGAAGATTGAACATTGCCAACGTACCAACTACAAATTTCACAGATCGTCTGAGCCTACCAGATTTATCATAGCGACGAGCTAGCATCAGCTGATCTCAAGCTAGCATTGACAATTTGTCTTTTCAGTAGCAATTTCTTTTCGTCTTTCTATTTATTTTTTGACCCACTCTTCACATATCTTTCTATATCTCAAACATTATGCTATTAGACGTTGTGTGTTCACAATCTTTTCGAAAAATTTCTGTCATATCTTCAGTTGTATTTGTGTTCAAGCATGGCACTTCATTTTCCTCTTCACGAGGAGCAATTATCTTTTTTCTGAATCAACATAGAGATCTTCAATTTCTTCTCAAATATTCCTTCTCTTTCCATCTTCTCCTCACCTCTCTCATACTTTGAATATAAATATGAATAAAGAAAAATTTTTTTTTGTTGAATAATAAAAATATGTTTTATACCTTCTTCGAAGCTTTTGCTGCATCTCTTCTCTTGTAATGTAGCTTTCATGAGTTTTGAAGACAATCTGAAATAGACCCTCGTTTATACTTCTATCTATCATTGAACATTCAATGAATAACAACTACAATACTATCTATTATGGATTATAGCCGTATGATACAATACAGCTTCGCTAGATGTGACTATCGTTTGATTGCTAATCAACACAGATGAATGCTTTACAGAAAATGGTACCATGACGGACATGCAACATGTGATATTCTCCCCTTTCCCGCCATGTATTAATGATCAGCTTCATATGCTGTATCTTCATTTATTCCATTCCTGTATATATAAGTGCACAACAGAAGCTATTAACTATTGGTTGTAAATGAAAAAAAGGAAAAAAATAGAAAAGAGAGAATCCCGTCAAAAAAATGTTAGAAAATAGATTAATATGGAATATATACCTACCCAACCCATAATTAACAATCTTAATATTCTATGTAAACATCAACACACATGCAAACTAGTACTACTACTACTACTACTATACTCACTCATAACATTCGTGTTGTTCGATTAAATGCTGTTAGAAAGTGAGTGAGGGCCAAACAAAATAACTTTTTTTTTGTCTTTACGTTTTCTTTTCATAACTAATGTGAGCTAGACTACTTCTAACATTGAACTAAGCTATTTCAAGGATGCTTGACAATCTGTTACTAACTCTTCGCTATTATCCTGTTGGTCCGCTTCGTCGCTGTCTTTTACATCAGCTTTTCCTTCAATGCCATCTGTCTTTTTTAAATCTGCTTCAGTGAATACGGGAAAGTCAGTTTGGCCATTCTTGATAAGCTCATCGATAAAGAATTCCAAAATTTCTTTTCCCTTCAAGATATTTTATATTATAGATGTATAAAAATATATCAAACCTTTGCCAAATTAGTAGCATATTGTTTAACAGCAATTTTCTCTACAGTTGCTTCAAAACCAAAGAAAGACTTAACATCAAGCATAGCATTCTGTTCGAAACACGTCCAATCAGAATTCTCTGGATGAACCTATAGAATATGAATATCATTATGAAACTTCTTTCTTATCATCTTATACTCACATAGTAATTACATGTTTCCAATATGGAAATACGACTGTTGAATGAAATGTTTGTTGCTTCTATAACTAATGTCCTATTAAGGCGATTCAATGTGTTTTTCTGAGTAAAAAATACAAAATCAACACCGGCTATCTAAAATGAAGAGTATCATGATGAGATGAGACATGACTGTTGTTGTTCATACCTTCTTAAGAATATATGGAACATCAATATTTAACTGACATTTTCTTTCTATCATCCATTCAGATCCATCTGAACTTGTATACTCATCAACTATCGTCGAACCAACAAATATAGGAATCTGAGGACAAGTTGGAAAACGTTTTTCATATGCCTAAACAAATGATATGAATGAGTTTTGAATAATTAAAAACAAAGACTTACAGCCATAACAAGCTCAAATGGATACTTATAGATACGTACAGGGGATTGATACGTCTGAACCATTGTTCTGAAATAAATAAAAAGGTAACAAATTAATAATAAAATAAAAAAATATAAAAGATAGAAAGACGAAGAAGGAGAATCGAATTGAAGTTCATTTTTATTTTTCGAGAAAACGGAAGGAAAAAGCTTTAGTCAACTAAAATGAAACAACAACAGAACATAAAGAAGGAAACGAACCTTAATCAAATACGAAAAACAAAATCTCACAATGTGGCCAATCAATAAAGTTTGTTTGGAAAGCTTGGTGTGCAAAAAATTGAATTCAATGACTCGTATTTGTTTGTTTATATGTTGTTTACAAGTGCGCATAAGTAGCAGACTAATGATCTCAAAGTATCATGAAAGACAAAGAAAACGAATCAAATTCAATGAAATTCTTTTATAATTTTAAAACCAAAATGAGTATATGATGATGATGATGATGATGATGATGTCCAAAGTCCATATGATTGAGACTGTTTGGCTGTTTTCAAATAAATGAATGAAAATGAGCGCTCATTTCCTTTTGCACTATCTCACTAACTCACTAACTCACTAATCTCTCTCTATCTCTCTTGATCTCTCTCACTATCTCTCTATCTCTCTGTCTCATATGGTCGTTTTTGTAGTTTATTCTTTTACAAAATCCATTACATTTGAGTTATTGTTATGAAAAGATATATACGAATAGGTCATCTCCATTCAATTAATCAAAGTGCGAAACGACATGTTGTCCTTAGTACATGATTGCAGAAACTTTTTGGAAAAAAACTGACAAAAAGATAACTATAATATATATTTATATATATATATATATATATATATTGCATATAATATATATTCTGATAGATATAGAGGGATGAAGAGAAATGAAAAGGAGGGAGGGAAGGGAGGGAGAATGGGATTGAATGTGGGAAAGGAAGAAACACAATCAAGAACGAAGGATAGTTATGAGAAAAAGCAAAGGATTGAATGAAAAAAAATGAAAATTTTTGTGTATTGAGATATAGGAATGACGAAACATATGTTTGTAATCTATTGAATACACAGATGAATCTATTTCTATTCCATAGATGGAATGTATGTGAGTTGAATGAATGAAAGACTGTTCAAAATGACTAAATAAGGCTTTTTTTCGTGAAAATTTATTTAATTGAATTATAAATTGGATTGTATGGATATGAAAATGAATATGATGAGAGGAATGTATTGAAGATGATGTATATCTAATAGAATCGACATTGAATTGATAGTGATAAGCTTCTTCATGCTTCATACAATGCTTCATCATAATGAACTTGATCAAAGGAAGACTAATAGCATTTCTTGAAATGATATTCTTACTCTCTATTCATCTGAAGAATAGGAATATTCAGATGAAAAAAAATAAAAATAAAGAGAAGAAGAATGAATGAATGAAGAGAAGGAATTATCGGAAGAAGATAAGAGAGAGGGAGAAAGAGAGAGAGAGAGAGAGAGAGTTGCAAGTAGTAGAAGATAGAGGAAGATGGATTGAGAATGAAAAATAGCTGAGTTGACGCAGAAAAAAAACATTGAGCAAGGGCTATGATTAGATGAGTATATGTGTTTCCAACTGCACAACTGCTTTTGAACACACAGGAGAAGAAGGAAAAGGAGGAAGGAGAGGCACAAACTAGGAGTAGTAGATGGATAAAATCTGAAAAACAGAAGAAAAGAGAACAGAAAATGTGTTAGTTGATTGAAAATTGAGAGAAACTAGGTGCAAAATGAGATGAAATGAGGACATTGAGTGAAGAAAAGACAAGACAACATATATCTTCAAATGAGCAGCTGAAAACTAAAAATATTTGAAACAAAAGCAATTGACAAATGTTTTGAAAAAATTATTGAAATTCTCTCAAACACACACACACACAAAAAATTATTTTTTTGTTCGAAAAACAACACAAAGTCCGCAGATATGCGTTGCAGGACAATTTCACAGTTTTTTGTAATTTTCTCTCTCTCTCTCTCTCTCTCTCTCTCTCTATCTCTATCTCTTCAAGAATATCAGGTTGTATTTGAAATATGAAAAAAGGTGAGAGAAGGAGAGATTGAATAGGAGAAGGCATCTGCTCGGATTTGGAAATATGAGCAAAAAATAATTTTTTTTTGGGTTTTTTACTTTTCGCAAAGCTGGCACCAGCAATATCTTGTAATGAAAACATGTAAGCTCGTAATAATTTTTAATTTTCATTCCAGAATATCGTATTTATCTCTCTTTCTTTCTCCCTCTCTCTCTTATGGATAACTCTCTTTAAAGTATATCTCTCCCTCTCTCTCTCTGTCTCTCTTGTATAGTAATACTTGCAATCGGTAGATTAAATGAAAGTTATAATGATATTGGCGCGGCGGAAATAATGAAATTGTTAAAAGTTTTATCAGATGAAGGCATATTGATAACTATATAGTATAGTTATGACATATAATGTTCTATTGAATTGGCATATTAGACAAGAATGATGAGATAACGGATTATCTAGCAGATTATGAAGATTCACAATGAGATATTTTTTATTTTTCTTTCAAATAAACGTATAGATGAGTATGGGTATGAGCTAGAAGGGATCTATGTGTCTATGTGTATGTGTGTGTGTGTTGATGTTTCATCTGAGCAAAAACCTCAATGCTTATGGTTAATAGTACTGACAGATGTTATTCTTTCATGACAAACTATCAGTTGTTTGAAAAGCTTTTAAGATTAAATATGCGATTCTCAATGCATCAAAGATTGAGGAAGTCAAGTGAAGAGATAGAGAACAACTTGTAATTGACAATCAACAATCATCTTCTAATCAACAATATATAATATATAATAGTTAAAAAGATTTCAAAAAGCAATAATAGACAAGTTCATGAGTCTAATCGTCATTCATTTGTTTCATTTCACTCTCTCTCTTGTTTCTCTCTTTGTGTTTAGAGCTATCTCTTTCTATCTCTCACTATCTCTTTCTACTTCTGTTTCTTTTTCGTGTGGTGATTAAGTCATTGTTATGGCTTTTTTTTCTCATCTCTTCATTTCCGATCAATTTTTGTCATTCATATCCCTTTCACTTTCTCTCTCTCTCTCTCTCTCTCTCTCTCTCTATATCAATATACTATTAACAATTCCATTATTCTCATTATTTAGTTTCAATTGAACTAAATCACAGATATATATATTTATCTAACTATATATATATATATATATATATATATCTATGATATTTGAAATATAAACAAACGATTGCCAATTGATCTATGTTGAATGAGGAAAATGGAGGAAATTTGGAATTTTAATGGTGTTTTCATATAGTAATGGGCTGTTTGAGATAGTTATTTAAGACTATTGAATCATGCTATGAAGAGAAGAAGAAGAAGAAGAAGAAGAAGGCAAAGATGAAATAGAGATTGAATTGATTTCTGACAGATTTGTCCATAAGATATATATGTTACAGGAAATGCTCAAATGCTCTATATAAGTGTGTTCATGTGAGTAAGTGAGTGTGTGTGAAGTTCATTTCAAAAAGTTAAAATATACTTTTAAAAAGTATATTTCACTTCAACATCTTAGACCATTACTAGTATGCTCTCATAGATTAGTTTAATGTAAACATACAAGTCTATATACACACACACACACGCATAGTTGGTAACTAACAGTAGTTTTTGAATTTTCAACAAAATGAAGGAACAGAAAGAGGTTTCAAACAATGAATCTATATGAAGGTGATTTGAAAAAGTGTGTTTCTCAGTTTTCGTCTGCTTGACTACATTCGCTCTTAATCTATTCATGCGTATACTTTGTATATCACCATATGAGTGTCGATGTGTGGATGTGTGTGTGTGTGTGTATGTGTGTTGGTAAGGTCAAAAAGCATATATGGTTAAAGAGAAGAAAAAAGTAATTTCATTGGTCTTTCAGATTTCTTCACTCCATATTTCCCGGAAATTGACGGAACCAAGCACCCAATCTTGGTTCTCACCAACAGAAAACATGCAACACAAGTATGCATTCTCTCTTAGAGCTAAGAACTCTTTTCTGTTCACTTTATTTTTTTTTTCATTCATTCAGTCAGTGGCTTTGACATAATTCTATTTTTCTCGAGCAACTTCCATTTTCTTCATTTTTCAAAAAAAAAAGAGAAAAAAGAAAGAAAGAAGGAAAGAAGAAAAGAAAAGGTTCTTTCTGTGGCATGTCAACTTCATATACTTGGAACCCACTCATCCAACCATTTTTCTTTATTTTCTTAAGATTAACTCAAAAAGTTTCGCACATTGACTATTCACTTTCGTCCCTTGTCCCTCTTTCTATATCTTTCCATTTCCCTCCCTTCCAAATACAGAATATCTCTCTTTCTCTCTCTCTTTGTCTCTTTCTCTCTCTCTCTCTGCCTTCTCTCTATTGAATTCCTTCTATTTCTTACCTCGCCGCCAAGCCTCTCTTCTCTCACTCCCATTCTCAAATTTCATTTAGGAAGAAAAGAAGAAAATTCTACTTTAAAAAGAACAAATACACAATTTGAATAGAAATATGACTACAGTGCAAATGCTGGAAAAGTGAAGAAAAACGAGGAGGAAGCAGAAGCTGCAGGAAGACTGACAAAACGGAAAAAAAACTTTTTTTTTTCTTAAACTCTCTCTATCTCTCTCTCCCTTCTTCTATGTCGGCTTGTGGTCAGAAATTAAATATAGAAAGAGTCGAAAGAGCGCAAAAATGGCCTAGAAAATGATTAGGAAGACATTTGTAAAAGAGTCTCTCCTAATATACAATTGAAAGGATTAGGAGAGAGAGAGAGAGAGAGAGATAGATAGATAGAAGAAGAAGACTGCAATGTAGATTGAAAATAAATATTATAGACGGGGCTTTAAGCCCTGATGCACCGTTTCTTCATTTTTTCTTCTTCTATTCTCTGTCTCCGAAATATAAAAACAATGAAAATGCATTTCAATTCCAGAAAAGAAATAATAATATTAAAAAAAATGAAAAAGTTTTTGTGTTATCTCTCATTGTGCGAAACATGATCATCATCATGTTCATCATCATCATCATCATCATCATCATCTCATTGCAATATATATTCAGCAAATGTGTAAAAATGGTTGACGAATCTCAAAAATGTTATGAATTGGTGTGTGGGCGCATAGAATGAAGAAGGCGAAGAAGATGAAGATGCTGAAGCAGACGAAAACGAAGAATATGAAATTGAAAAGTAAAATCGTATGAATCATGAAATCTTATATTTCAAGTCATCCGGATGTTATGGTTGATATGTGAATGAGAAATGAAAACACATTCGAGACTTTTAAAAGTCGTATGCCTTTGCTATTTTCAAAATGTCTGAAGAAAACGAAAAAAAAAAGAAATTTTGTTTGTTTCGAAAGCAAATTCAAAAAGCAATCAATATGGAAGAAGAAACAGCAACATTCAGTTACCTAATGAGATGATTTGTGTGGATGTGTGAGTGCATGTGTGTGTATAGATGTGGATGTGGATGTGTGCCAATGTTATAACCCTTTAAGTTGTTTAAAGTCTTTTCACTTTCTAAATTGAAATGATTTGAGTCTCTCATTGTCTGTTATAAGAGTAATGCCCTTCTAATTCATTTTTCAATTGATATTCACTTGAGATAGAAAGAATATGAAAGATATCTCCTTATATATTATAAAAGGCTGTTACTATTTAACTATTCTAAGGTAAGCGTTGGCGTCGAGATGAATATATCATCAGAAATAGATATATAATTCAAGCAATACATATCATATTACGAGATATAGTTTCAATGAACTTCTTTCTACTGAATTATAACATTACGCAATAATAATATTCTCACGGAAGTTCCTTTATTTTTTGTTCTTCACACCACTACCACCTACATCATACACATCATATTCACTCTCCTACACTACAATCATCATTAATGTTTTTGCCTAAACCAGCTAGAGTCTGTTCATGTCATCAGAATGATCCGCCTCCCTGGACAGGAGAGATTCATGGTCTAAGTCAGGTATGTCTCCCTCTCTCTCTCTCTAATTGAAACAAAAGCAGGACAGAAGAACAAAAAAAGTCTGAATTCTCTCATCCGTACACATCGCATGCGGAAGTTTCAATTTGAACAACTTAGTTGAAAAATGTTTTTTTTTCTCAATTCCATCTCTCTCTCTCTATCTCCCACTCTTTTTGCGCTTTTCAAAATACAGTTGGACTTTACGAAAATTGGAGAGAAGTTTCAAATCAATTATTCGTTGAGAATTAAGAAAAAGAGCGTTTGAAGCGTAAAAGTATAAGAAAGAAAAATAAAAATGCAACAACGTTAAAGCCTCAAGGGAACGGCAAAGTAGCCTTTTAGAAAAACAAACACACCCTAGAGACAAACATAATAATACTTGCATTTCAATTTTGCTACATCACAATCTAGCTTAGAAGAAGAGGATAAAGCATAAAAAACTGAAAAGAAAGTAGAAAGATGATGAATATCCAGAAATGAAGTTCATTCTAGGCATTAACTAGTTCTACATTGCCTCGAAGAGTTTTTTGGTGGCTTGTAATGGCTATTTGCATAATTTGTGGAACGATTACAACATCATTAGTTGTTCTAGAATATATAAATGGACCAACAGCAACTTCAACAACTATCAAATTAGTTAGTTAAACGAGAAAAAGCCTTTTTGCCATTAAAAGTAATGTTTATACATTTTTAGGTTAAGAGTTTAGAACTGCCGGCTATAACAATTTGTCCAAAAGTGCCGGACGCTCTTAATGAGACTGGAATTAAGAATGACATAAAAATGGCTTTAGGTGATTTGTCTGATGATACCCTACTTGACGTCATTCGGTATGAAGATAATGAAACAAATGAAATAGCTAGAGAGATAGAAAAAGAGAAAACATATATATATATATATAAGATGGAAAGAAATATATATTTCTTTCATTCAGTTTTTGGATTGGTGGAAATGGATTAGAGAACATGGATAATTTGAGTTATTTCAATCATACTTACATGAGCTATTTGAATCATTTATATCTACAATGGTCACAAGGATATAGCACAGAAGATTTCTTTTTTCGAATGCAGGTAGTTAGATGTGTTCAAAGAGTGATAATAGATGGATATATTTGAGGATATGTACTCATATAGATGTGAGGATCTATTAAAAGATTGCCAATTAGCTGGAAAGGTTATGGATTGCTGTAATGATTTGTTTCGAATGAAACCTGTCATGCGACGAGGCTTATGCTTTCAAACTCGTCCAGGAATCAATCAAGTAAGTTATATCTCATTAATCAATACAATATGTATGATATGTTTGAAGACTGAAGCAGATGATATTGGACGACTTGTTCTATCACTCAAAGCTCCGTCAAGCATCACAAATCCTCAATATAATTATACACAGGTTTATAATAATCAAGAATAACAAACATATCATTTGTTATCAGCCACAGCTAGTTGTTTATCTGACAGATAACTATGAACATATTGTGGACTTTCCCAGATTCTATCTATATCCTAATGAATGGAATAGAATGAGGCTTACAGCTCGTTATATTGAGCTAATACAAAAAAATGATGTCTGCACTAACAAGGTATTATCCTCTACAGTACATTAAACTTATAAATTGCTAAACTAGCTCTAGATAATCAGAATAGAATTACATTCATATTGATTTTTGGACTGAATGATCAAAAACATTTGTGAGTTAGATGAGAGATGTGTTGTAGTCAGACGAAACAAGCATATTCAAAGACAAATAAGGAAATAGAAAGAAATTCAAAAAAAAAATTAAAATTCAAAAGATATTTATGTGATCAATATGTCGTTTTCTATCAGTAGTTCATATATGGGTCACTTGATGAAACTTGATTTGAGGTCACCTAAGCCTCGCCTTGAAATACGTTGTGTATCACATATTCAATTGGTACGCAATAAAAATATTTTTTTTGTTCATTCTCATAGCCAATTCTACGGGAGAAGGAGAGAGAATAAGATGATGATGAAGTAGTAGAATGGAAGAAAATGAAAAAAAAAGCATTTTTTGGCAGTTTCTTTCTCTAAATTAAAACAATAAAACTGTGTTGTTGTTGTTGTTGCAGAGCAAAGAACATTGAATGTAATTAAATAGATCAAATTGTTTGAGCATTCTCAATTAGATGTTGAATATGTTGACATGCATTCTAATTTCAGATAACTGGAAGGGATGCTGAATGTACAATACGTCGTTGGCTATTGTCAAGTGTTGTTTATCCATTCAATTGTACATTAGCATATCTGCCAAACATGAGTGGCTTGCCAGTTAATAAAGGAGTATGTGATCCAAGCGTAATAGCGGATTCATACTACCAAAGCATACAATTAGTTTTCAATTCAGTTGATGTCAAGGAAAATGTATGTATCTCACACACACACACACACACACACAAACATATACTTTTTATAAAAAAAAAAAATTATTTCAGTGCATACCTGGCTGTAGAAGATGGGATTATCAAGCTTCTCTTCAACAAAGTCAAACCTTGACACCATTCCAATCGTTTACATTCAATCTCGAAATATCATATAATGATCTTCAGGTTCATTCAATTACATACATCATATTCATCATAACAAAACGATTTTCAGTATGAATATGTTAAAGAAGTATATACAACATCTGTACCAGGATTTATGTCACAAATCGGAGGTATATAGACATGCTAATGAAGCTTTCTACAGTATACAACATCATTCAGGTCAATTTGGTTTTTTCCTTGGACTTTCAATCATCACACTAATGCAGATGATTATCTATGCATGCCATTGGGTTATAGTTTTCGTATCGAAAAAAATTAAAATGTTTATTCGCTTTAACAGCAGAAGACATAACATTAATGATTAAAATAAAAATATATTACTGACAAGGCATGTTTCGTTTAATCAAAAACAACAACAAACACAACAAAAATTTTAAAAAACAACTTGGAATGACACTGTCACGCACACATGCACACAAACATATACTCATGAGTTGTTTATGAATAAAAATAAATTAATTTTCATCTTAACGTCAAATTGTCATTAGTGATTGAGATGATGAAGATCTTTATTTGTTGAATAAATTAATGAAATTTAAAATGAGAAATAAAGCTATTAAAGGAAGATTAAAGCTTCAATAACGAGATGACGACATCATTCAAGCAACTGTTTCACAAATTATATGATTCTCATTATCATATAATTAAAGAATATATTGAATGAAATCACTTTTTATTTGAATGCATCGACGCTAAACTATGTTCACGCCCACTTGTGCGCACATCTCGTGACTACTGCTGTTATTCATTAAAATTGTTTTTCATAGCATTTATATCCAATTTAATTATTTCTTTCTTGCTAATTATGAATCTAATAATGTTTTGAACATTTAGATATGGATAAGAATGTTATAAGTGTGGATGATTATACAATAGCTACGGTTGAAGAGAATGATATTGACTTGATTGAAAATGCTCTGTCACAGGTACAATTTCTAGATTTTCTCCCATCAGAAGGATATTTAATGATTGAAGTTTACTTTTAAATGTTTAGAGTCTTCAACAAAACAGTTGGGAGGAAAGAACGGTTGAACTCAACAGTCGTATCTTAGATTTCAAATTATTCAAGGATTCTAATGCTAATGTGAGTTATACGTAGACTTTCCATGAAGTTTCAAGTTATTGCTTTTCAGATTGGTAGTATTAAGCATGATGATGAAGCCATAGATGTTCTTATGCAAGATATTAAAACATTGGTATAGTTACTTCTAATATTCATTCATCAGCATACTGTTTAGTTCGGACTCGATGAATTCATTCGTGTGAGGTCCAACAAGCCTTCTGATAGCTCTTCAGCGCAATTAAGTAATCTTATCAGTATTTTGAGTCAAGCACAAGCTGCCACAAACTTGTATGTTATATCCCATGCTAATAATAGATTAACACGTGTTCAGGCCGTATCCTATCCTCATCCAGCATGGTCCTGACTGTAATCGGTTGTATTCAGGAGTTGTTCGAAAACCTGACATGATTACACATTACAACGTAGGAAATACATCTTTCCTACCAACTTTTTTATGACTGTTTTTCAGACTATCAGACTTCGTCATATTTTCCGAAAACATAAAATTCTTTCAGGACTGACAGAACTTCTTCGTGAGCATGTGGTAAGAGTTCAATACCTTTGATTCTTTCAAACTTTGATTCAGAAAGCTCTTTATGATCAGCAAGTTTTACGAAGTATCGCCACCGATTTCGAGAACATGGCAAATATTACAGCAGAATCTACTTATCGTTATCAGGTATTATAGCCACATAACAAAACTTAGTAAACGATAAAGTTTCAGATTCCGAACTATAGTGCCGAAAAGGACTTTGTCAGGTTTGATTGTAAACATTTTTCTGTAACTTTTTATATTTTAGAGCAATCGAGCTGATTGCTGTATGGAAAAACTTTAGGGAAGACACTTTGCGTGAGAATAAAGTATGGAGAATATCTGAAAGAGTTTTCAATTTTTCTTATTGAGGAAGGTGATTTAAAGCGAATGGATCCCTCTGCTTCCTGGAAAATTTCATTTGATTTCCTTCCAAACTCCGGATACAATGGTTTGATCAGAATTCAGAGTCTATTTGTAATGTATTATATTCAGAAAAACTATTATCAACTCTGATGAACGAAACAGAGCATCTAGATGATTTAGAATGTTTGACGGATGATATGGCTCCTAGAAGAGAAGAGTTCTTGTTCTACACTAAACCTGAAACTAGCGACAATGAGTTTTTCGATAGCTTAGAAAAAGTTTATTATGAGGATTACATCGAAGAAGAATATAAAAGACTTTTGATGTATAAAAATCTCCACAACAAGCAGGAATTGGTTTTCACACTTTCAAACAAGATTAATCACACTGTGTATTAAGATTCACGAATGGTGGGAGAAGCACGTATTCCACAAAGTCCAAAAAGGTAACGGCGAGTTGCTTTCCGAAATTTCTAGTACTCTCGAGGTTGTTTCTATTCATTTCAGTTATATACTTAATCCTCTGCTTCAGGAAATTAGAAACGAAAATGAGCATACTATCCCTACAACTGTTTGTTCCCGCCTTGGGAAAGTATTGTTCTTCAGTGAATCAGGACGGGAGCGATGTCAGTTTGCTCAAATGAGATTATTCGCCAAGTTTGTGGAAGCACTAGAGTACAGATATGAGAAATGTCTTGATGTTTATCAGTGAGTCGAGGATCAGAGATCTGTACTAATTTAAAAATTTCCAGTTATGCATCTAAAGAACCCGCTTCTTATTTCAAATCTTTATCAGATTACCTATGTAACATTCAGAGATGTATAGAACTGAGAAGAACTGAATTCAAGAAGTTAGACAACCTAGTTAGTTTTGGAGAAGGTATACACGATTCCTTTCGGTGTTCATAATCTAAAACTCTAGACGAATTCCACGATGCCATAGAACATAATGATCATGAATCTATTATGTCAAACCCTCATTCATATGCCATTGGTTGTATTTTGAAGTTAGGTGCAGCAAACTATAAAAATGTAAGAGAATGGTTGCGTCAAGATCTTATGAAGCAAGCCGTCATCAATTTTGCCCACAAATGTAGGTTTTCTAATGCGAATGAAGTAAACATTGTGTTGTTGTAGGGCCTGTTCATTTCCCAACGGATTCCTTGAAAGAAACGGTTTCTTCGGTTCACAAAGCTTTACTTTCCCTATCATAGTGAGTTTGTATGACCAGAATGATGTAATATGTCCTATTAAGTGATGATTATTTGGATGCTTTTCGAGTTATCAAGAAAAGAGAACGTCATCTTGACATGTACATTTCCGCTTTCAATGCCTTGATTGAACCAGTAAGATAGAAAGAAAGTCTTGTTTTCGAATACAAATATTGTAGTGGAACAAGCAATTTCCAAAGGAAACCATTACAAACGATAATCTGGAAATTCATAACTTAGTCAATGATATCATAATACATCATAATAGACAAAGGTGAATAAAAATAAAATTTCATGAGAAATAATCAGAATATTTCAGTTCCTGTATTGCATTTGATGGAGTTAACTTGCCAGGTGATTCGTAATCAGTATTAATCTTATTTTGATGACGTAAATTATAGAAGAAGGCAATACATTGCCAGTGAAAATAGCTCGCTATCTCAAGGAAGTGATTGCTACACAGCTGAAGCCAGATGAGGAAGGTTTTACAAAGTGAGGCTTCGCAAAAATAACCGTTCAAGCGGAATAAATAACAAAAATTTTTGCAGAAAACAATTCTATATAAGATGGAAAACAGAGAGCAGTGGTATCAAAGGCAAAATGATGTACCATAGATTATATGCTAACATTCAAAGTGATAAAGTTGTGCTGGGCTCTGTCATAACTCGTGATTGTACCTTCTTTTGAATAATATTTATAATGCATACTTTCGATAATGAGTTTTTCTCTTCTATTCTCTTTTTCATTCTTTGATTGAAAATCGTTTTCACACCTATAAATTCCGTTTTCTCATCAATAACAGCCAGCTTTGTATTTAATTCATCCAACACCCCTTCAATTCCTTTTTTTTCGCATTCTCTGTCTATTTCATTTGTTTTTTTTTATATTTGTCTCCGTCAAAATTCATTCAGAATAAATTGGGTAAATACATTTTAAGCTCAATTTATAGTTAATTACGATTAATTTCTTGAAAGCAGTGCATTAGGCTAATCCTTGTGTGCGCCTGATTAGTACGAATTAGAGGCCGGCTGCGCTCCTGATGACATTTGCGGAAATGCCAAATTAGAAATGCCAAATTGGAAATCTCATTAGTGAATAACCATAATAATTCACCGTGAGAGATAGACCTAATTAATTTATAATATTGATCGGAAATTGAAAATTGAGAAGGGAAGGAGTGGTATCCGATTAGTATCCAAATTCTCATGAAATATAGCCGCTCTCATGAGTCAGAGAGATAAATGAAAGGAGAGTTAGATGAAAGGCTGATTGTTCCCAGCATTTTGTAGTTATCTTTATGGGTTCTTTTGGCGTCCTTTTGTGCGTTTCAAGGTCAACAGTGTTTAATGCGACCACATGACCTACTGTAGTGTCTAGAATAGCAATTGATTCGAGAGAGATCTTGGCGTGTTTATGTCCAACTCGCACAATAGGGCGCGTTTCATATAAACGCTACGTATGTTTTTAATAGTGACGATACTGAAAGGAGAATCTTATAATGCCAATGATTACTCATAGGAAGAAAATGACTAATACGAGAAAGAAAAAAAGAATTTTTTTCGCTTATATCTTGAAAACCGTATTTCTCGTGTGCATTTCGTATACTAAAGACTCATTTTCAGATACACTCTCATGTACCTCTATCTCTAGTCTGTATCGTATACTATGATATAAGATATACTAAAAAAAACATATATATTGTATAATTGTATAATAATATTATCATCATAATAATAACATATATCTGCCCCTCTCCCACTCTCCTTAATACCAACGGAGTCATGGAGGAAGAGAATGAATCATTTGCAACAACAGAGGAGTATGCTGTAGAGCATTTGCGTGTCTCTGTTGCCCATGTTTTAACTAACATAGGTTAGTCATATGATGATGAATAATTAGGATTCATCTAAACATTACATTATTATTGATTTATATTGTTATTTTCACTGCAGGCTTTTCTGCTATCAACGAAGAATCTCTGAACATACTTGTTGATATTAGTCGCAGATTCATGTCGTCATTATGCGGAAAAACAAAATTTTATGCAGAACACGGTTAGATTATATATATTCTATATATTATATATAACTAACTTATCTTATTCAAGCTGGACGTACCGCAGTAACACCATGTGATTTATCATTAGCCTTTCGTAGAATGCAGTTTTCATCAGTGGAGCTGTATGATTATTTAGATCAAGTAGGAACTGTAAAAAATACTATAACTGAAGTATGTGTTTGTGATCTTTCATTTTTCCTTCTACAACTATGTTACTTCTATTTCTATCTGTGTCAGGTGCCTAAATTTCCTGTGCCTTTGCCGAAACTACTGCCAATTTTGCACCCACCACCTACTCGTGAGGAACTTATGGTTATTATTTTGATATTTATATAATATCTTAACAATAACACATTTAAGACCCGGCCTGAGCATATACCGATGCACTATCCACGTATGTGGACACCAAAAAAAAGTTTGTTCTGTGAATGTTATGATTTGTATAGTATATGTTATTCAGACGAAGATTTCTTGGCTGTTAAAGCAAAGAAAAAGTTTGCACGACTACGAAGTTCACTTTTTATTTCATTAACTCTCTTTTCAGCCCAAATTCTATACCCAAGTTTCCTGATTTTACAAATTCAAATGCAATGGATCTGAATCTGGCAAGATCAAGGAATAGAATTGTTAAAAGATCTCCAACTCCTGACGCATTCATATCTTCAGGCAATACTATGATACTGAGAACATGTTTGAAAGAAATTCTCTTTTTTTTAGTTCGTGAGAAAATTTTGCCTGAGAAGCAGTATGAACCGCCTATTATCATCGAGGCACCAGCTGGATTATTAAATCAAAAGAAAAAGGTTATTCATAGCAGCTGTTCAAGCAATATATCATTAAATTTGAAGAAACGAGATTATAATAAGAAGGCTAAACCACCAAAAATCAAACCGAAGGTTCTCCCCAAGAAGATCGAGAAATCTCCTCAGGTTGATCATCATTCAACATCTCTCATTATCATCTTTGGAATTTTCAGACTCCGAAGAAGACAAAAACTGTTTCTTCTCCAGTTTCGGCTGTTAAACTGGAAGAAAAAAGCAAAAATGTGCTCACAAAGAATACTCCAACTAAGCCCGTTGATAGTGTTTCAACACCAAGTAAAAAACGGCTTTATAATAGCTCTTTGAATTCGTCATCAGATTCTGGATCGTCAAATGATTCAATATCTAATAGCGAACCTTCAGCTCCAACCAGCGAACGAGTAGCCGCATTTACGTATGCATTTCTGCATTCATTAGCTTAGTATCAATTGGATATATTTCAGTGTATGTGTAGATCGCTACCGTGGGGCTGAAAACTCTGCAGCTGAAACCGCACCAAAAACGGAGAAGGTCAGTTTCTATCTTGCATAAAGATGTCTAAATGTCACTCTATAGGATGGAAGTGACATTGAAGCACGCTATAAACGGGATATGGCCGAGCAGGCTGAGTTAGAAGGGAAAATGCAACTCCAAATGTTGATGGAAGCGAAAACCTATCGCCCATCAGAACCTAGTCCGCCTATGCGCTTAGAAGTATCAAGTACTTCTGCAGGTACTAGCATTGATTCTCTAATTAACTCTCATCTCTTCATCAAAATTATTTTTTATTTATTTAATCAAACTTTCTTGCATTCTCTTACTATGATAATGATTCTAATGATTGTATTTTAAGATGGCTTAAAAATTGTGATAAGCAATTCTCAAAGAAATTGCAAAAACTCATCGGGTCGATACAGTACTAATACAACAATCTCACCTCATTCTGATATGGAATTCAACGAAGAATGCACTAACCCTCCAATAGGTATGTTGTTATGAATCTGTAATGAAGGAAATGAGAAGAAAAAACTGCTACAAACCTACTAGAATACGTAATAGATATAAGAGTGGGAAAAGCGCGAGCTTCATTGTTCCTCTAAATAATCTATGAAAAGAATTATGTAGGGTAGAAAGAGGATAAGCGCTTTATGTAATGAATCTATCGATTATTCATAAGAGGCTCAAGCATCTTTTCTCTTCTGAAATGTTTTTTTTATGAGACGGAAGATAAATGCTGCGTTTTCAGAATTTCATGGTAAAAATGAGAAAAGAGAGAAAATGAGATGACGAGAATGAGAGAGAACGAAATAAATTAGCTGAATGGCTTTCATCTTCATTCATTCACATATCTTATTCTGTTGACAGTTTCACACTATAAGGAAGAAGAGAGAGAGAGAGAGAATCAATTAAAATATGAGGAGGAGGAATATATTGAACTTAAGTTTTACGGATAATTTCAGAAGAAGCATTTGTGGATGAAGGATGCATCACCGAAACGCCATCGCCTGTCTATACGTATTTTGATGCTATAAAACCGGGAAGGTTTTCTGATACCATGACAACGCTCTCCATGGATGTAGGAAGCGTTTTAAATTAGTTTGATCATTAAAATATATTTTTAGGCCGACTCATTTAGTGAACAAATAGAAGATTGGCCTTCAAAGAAGCATAAAAAGCATAAAAAAGAGAAAAAGCCAAAGAAGGAGAAAGAGAAGAAAAGTCATAAGAAGAATAATGTTGTGGAGAAGAAATCAAAAACGAAAAAGATTGAACCACCCGTTGAGATTACCCCCAAGTCTGGTAATTAGCAATTTCATTTTTTTCAAATCTCTAATGACCCAATTTCAGAGCACAAAATCAAATTAAAAATCAAATTGGCAGAAGGCCAACCATCCTCCACTGTTTGCTCATTTAATGAAGAGAAACCTCCCCTACCCGATTCTACTGTAAAACTGCGAATTAAATTAAAGTTGGTTTATAAGATGTATAAATGAAGTTAGCTATTCAAACAGGGAGGAGAAAAGAGAAGACAATCTCATTATGAGCGCTGAAACCGAGAGAAAAGTTCCAAAGCTCAAAATTGGATTGCCTAAGAGTAGCGAGCCAGTTCCTGAACCAGAACCTTCTGACATTAGTGCGCCTGAGGTTTGTTTTTCTTTGCTTATTCATAATTTAAATGTTTTTTTAAGCGATCGAGTCGAGCAACGAAAACCATGGCAAAGTCAAACGGAGATTTGAAGGAAAAACCTGAACCTGTACAGGAAGTTGACGCGTCAACCAAACCGCGCAAAAGGAAGAGTTCAGCCACTTTCAATCCAGGTACTGAAATTGAGAGAAATGATATGAAATTGAAAAAAATAGAAAAAAAACGCGTCAAAGACTTCATGAAGAGAGAGAAACCAAAGATGAATGGAAAAGAACCGCTCACGGATAATGATGACGCGAAAACGGTTGAAAGCGCCGATGAGGAGGTAAACAAATGTCATAATCAATATGCAGAGCTGATGCGTCGTTTAGATATGGATATGTCCAGCATGCTCAGTCGCCTGGACAGAAGGTGCCACAATGATTGGCTGTGACAATTGTGACAATTGGTTCCATTGGTTAGTCGATATGGGCATAAAAACATAGAGAATCTATCTATTTCTAGGCATTGTGTTAACATCACTGAAGCGCCGGATGAACAGCAAGAATGGTTCTGCCAAAAATGTAAGAACAAGAAAATGAAAAAAACGAACCAATCGAAGAGCAGAAGAAAATGAAAATCAACTGATACGGATACTTAATGAGAATCGTTTTCATACATATGATACGATGTAATCAAAAAATGAAAAACCCCCGCTCTAGTGCTTTGTAGATATTCATAGTTTTTATATATTTATACTTTCTTTCATCTTATTGTTATTTAACTATATATTATATATTGGTTGGTCGATTCTCTTACTAACATATTTCTGCCAGAGATACGATGATGCAACAACATATGCTGAGATTCTTAGTCAAGTTTCTAATCCCTTTTCATACAGTTCTATTTTATAGCGAGCTTCTGTGAATTTTTATTTCAAAAAGTTTATTATGTTCATTAAAATGAATAAATCTTTATTTTTCCTTTTTTAATTATATTAATGCATCATATAGAGATTCTGCAGACAATGCTTTCATTGCTCAAGTTGTATATCTGATTACGTCAAAGGCGAAAGTGGAACCGCATTGTTGAATGAACATTTCTCATTTTCTTCCTTTTCCTATTTTAATGGATTCAAATAAGTTCATTACAACATGGAGGCCATTAACGAAGAAAAAAGCTTTCATTTCGTTTTTGAATTGCTATTCTTTGATCAGACCACCACATTTGAAAAGGCTTAAACTAATCAACTGAAAATAAATTAAAGACGGGCTGTTTGTCACTATTTATTATTGCAATTAGAGGAGTTTTATTTACAGCTAATTAACATTAAAGAAGAAATGAGACTCGGGTTCGATATACGGTAGGTTTTGGATTTTGTTTACAATGGATTCAATCTTGGATTGTTCGCTTTCGTTCAAACTTCAATGGGGGTATCCAAGGACTTGTTCGGAGCCAAGCATCCCAACGATTGACGGATGTGGTAGCGCATCGTGTTCATGATGTTCGCATCGAATATGTATTCGCATTCTTCGATACTCATCTCAACGACCTGGAGAAAGTAATCAAGTTATTGGAAAGCAATGAGAAGAGGATTTACTCGAACTCTTGTGGCTGGAGAGACATTGCTCAAGCTGCCTTGGAAAAGGGCCTCAGTGAGATCATACTCAACTTTGAGAATCTCAGATCTGAGAATGAGGATTATTACATAATCACACAGAGACGGCATCCTACCGAGAAGTCTTGATGCTGTTGAAGTAATCTTTGAAGAACTTCATCAAGTGTTTCAAGTTGAAAAGGTTCAATGGCTTCAAGTTGAACGCTTGTTTCAGCTCATGGTGAGTGAGTGGCGAGTCATCGCTTAAACATCTTCCTAGTACTCAAAGCTTCTATAAGTTACCTTATGTTCTTCTCCAAATGCTCAATAGCATCAGCTCCCAACAAAGTGCCTGGAATCGATTTCAGGTATTCAAGGAGAAGGACTGCAGCCTCGGGCGCATACTTCATGGTCTCCGCGGTTTCTTTCTATCCAATTATAAATAATAATGACATTTGGTCAAAGATTTACCGGATCAAAGCGGTTATCCATTCGGCTTCGTAACTCACTTTTCTGAGCCTCGTCGATTGGATTATAAAAGAGATCTGCATCAAGTTATGTTAGAATATGTAATTGAATGAAATTCTTCTTACCTTTGTCTCCGAATCCTTTTTCACGAATGACACTGCAGCATATCGATATTGGATAAGCCAAATCAATTTTCTCAAGAATGATATGTTCCTCAAGTCGAACGCCGAAGACATCGGAAAAACGAACACGTTTTGATAATCCCATGTTTGATACTCACCGGGTGTTATCATCCGAGCTTTATGGTTCATCTTGTCGGTCTCTTGCGAAGACATGATTGTTTACTATAATATTTAACAATTATTTACAGATATGAGACAAACAAATAAGCCGCAGGCTGTTTGAAATGAAAACTGAATGCAAGAATGAATTTTCTTTCTTCTGGTTAAATATTAAATTAGATAAATCAGTTTTTCCCGATAAGAAATGAAATCAATTTCATTAATTGGTGTTTTAAATGCCAAAGGGGGTGTAACTAGTTTTGCGATATTTAGATAATAAGTTTCCGATAAACTGCTTATGATATACGAGAGATCTTTATATACTATACGTTTGCATATATACACATGGTTACCAGACAGAGCAGAAAGACATGCGTCAATCAAACTATCTCTAAATTCTATCATTTTCACGACAGCATTACCTGTTTTTAACAAATCGCAACATCGCTCAAGCGGTTTCATACTTATATTTGTATCACATGGGATATGAAGTTCTTATATCTTGAACACTACAAGATCTGCGGTACACTTCTCGATTAGCTAATCAACGTTCAATGAACTGAGAAAGCGTACGCGTGTCTAGATCTACAGGAAGTTAGGAATAATGAAATCATAAGATACTATGATATCATTCTAACCTCCTTATATCTCATCATCAACCCTCTTATAGCATACGAAGTTTCTTTCAGTCCAAAAGATCAAACTTTGAAACAGCTAAAGTCATTCTAATCCCTCTTTTAAATTTTGGAACTATTTCTTGACTCATTGAAAATTTGCTCACAAGCTAAGCATGGCTTCAAAGATTATCCTACTATGGAAGTACATTGTGGTATTCATTCCATATATACATATATATACTTCCTCAACCATTTCTTTTGTTGTTTGAGCTTGCTGTTGATTAATAGCGGATGTATGCGTTGCTCTGAGTAATTAAAAGCTCATTTAAAGCCAGATGCTTGCAATAGCTCAGTTTATTCTAAAGCCATGAATATACATCTTGAATACATTAATTGTATGAACATTAAAATAGTTTTAGTCCCTACATGGATATATCAATATTCAAACGGGAGTCTAGCAATTTCTCATTCCACCCCTCTTTCTACACTACTATATTCTCACAAATTCTAAAATGGCTACTTATTTCAATCTTATTCTTACTCTCTATCTACCTTATGCTCTATTCAGCATCTACGTGCCGATATAGCTATTAGATATACAAAATTAAATTAATTTAAGATATATTATAAAATGATATATGTTTTAATAAAAAAATATAAATTAAATTTGCCTTTTACAAAGCTTGTTAAACTCCGGTGAGGCAAATGAGGAAATGAAAAAAATTAATAATTTGCAAAGAATTAAAGGTTGGCAAAAAGCCATAGATCAATCATTGCATATCGTCAGCGTTGTTTGTCAACGGTTGCTCCATAAGCTAATCCTCAAAATCTGCTGCAGTAAAGGTGCTCCATTGTTAAATTTTTTAAAATATTCTGCTGGATGAGTGCTCTATTGTTAACAGCCCACATTAATCCTATATGGTATGTAAACTAAATAATGGCAAGTAATCGCCAAATGCCGATTACTGTCTTATTTGGTTTCCTTACCCTATATGATTTTCCTCACGTCACTAATAAACCAAAAAATAATCTTTTATGTGATAATCTCATAGCTGATGAATCCATTCTAATCATAGAAAGTATTAGGTGAAGGTCACTGATAGTATTATAAACGTAATTAGTTAGTTATATGTTCCGAGAATACGCACAGTGACCTTTCATCATCTGAAAACGTAATGCGTTATGATGATGATAAATAAGAAAGGATATTGACTATATATTTATGCGATGGACATGTATAAAACTGTTATGAGTACATTCATGTTGTAATGCTCTACCTTAAAGGGGTATTGGAAGACAATTTCAAAGACTTCTAGTTTTGGGATTGACGTTGAGTATGGGTGGCTCTCTCCTCACCATCCTTGTTGTAGAGGATGGTTTGGATACTGTTTCCAACGCCGAAGGTGTCGGATTCGTTGAAGATCAACGTGTTTGGTGCTCCGGAGACTCCACCTTGGCCATGAGCCCAAATCTTGATGACTTGCATGGGTTGAAGGACAAAGTCATGAGGGACGGTGAAGACGATTTCCTTTTTGCCATCGATCTTTCTCTTGAGCTTCCAATCGCCGATCGGCTCTTCTTTGCTACGGTGGGTGTTTTCGATGGTAACGTACTTTCCTTCTGGGTGGGTCTCCTAAATATTTGTATGAGCTATTGTATCTTTCAAACATATTATTACTTGAATGGAAACGTTTCCTTTGGCTGATCTACTGTAAGAGGTTCTACTAGAGGTTTCACCCTTGATAACTCTCATGGTTTCTATAATATGAAGATGGAATATTGTTTTTACAATCCTTCATACCAGTATCAGCGACTTCATTGATTCCGGTGGTACGAACAACTTGTTCAACTAACTGGCGGAGTCCTGGGCCATCTCCTTCACCTTCCAACATCTTTCTGTAGATGGCTATCTCAGCATCTAATGTCTTAAAACGATATGAATAATTAGAACAGTTTTTCTTCTTTTTTTCATACCTGTTTGGTATCAAGGAGCATTTGGAGTTCTACCATAAGAGCTTGGCATTCCTCTCTCATCTTACGAATTTGGTTATCACGATCATTCAAAGCAGCCTCATAGGATCTTTGATCGTCTTCCAATTGGTAGTTGAGCTCTTGGATTTGTCTTTCAAGGAGACTATTCTGTAAAGGATTAGTATAAGAAAACAAAGTCGGTTGCTGTCAATTACCTTTCCTTCGAGGTCAGCCAATTTACCGCGTAAATCTCCGAGCTGAGTTCTCAATCTCTTGACCTCATCCTTTTGATATTCTTGTTCCTTGTTTTGACGAGCGCTTTGGGTGTTAATTTCTTGAACCTTGATCTTGTACCAGGATTCGAGATCGTTACGTTGAGCATTGATCATCTATATGAATGTTATTTTGCTGCCAGATTAAATCCACTTACTTGATCGTAGTCGTTACGAATATCACGAATGGCATTAGCCAATTCATTCTTGAAGTAATCTCTGTTCTCAGCTGTAGTATCTCTAGCAGCCATAGCTTGGAGTTCCTTGATCTCCTGAAATAATATAATTTTAGTTCTCCTTGAAGCTTATTAGATCTAACCTGATCTTGAGCTCTCTTGATGAAGTCAATTTCTTCCAAGAGGGTCGTAACTTGATTTTGATAATCAATTCTATTAAGGGTCTCTTGGTCGATCTCCTATAAATGATTCATAGAATGAGTCAGTAAACTTGTTCCACTAACAGTGCGAGTTCTTTGAAGTTCACCACTAAGGCGAATGTTTTCTTTTTTGAGGCGAGCAACTTCCTCTTCAAGAAGAGCGATACGTCTCTTCAAAAGGTTGATCTCAGCTTCCAAGTTGGAGAGAGTGACCAACAGTTCATCGATTTTCTCTCTGTCAACATTGCGAGCACGTTGAGCTTCTTCGAATCTGAATAAAAATATGTGAAATGAATGATGAAGTTCCACTCACTTCTTGCGAATCTCGTTCAGTTCATCTTGCAACTTGCGGATGTTCTTGTCGAGATCTTCTTTGTCCTTTCCAGTTTGATCAATGACTCTCTTAGCTTGAGTGATTTCAGATTCATACATGAATTTGATGGTGGTGGTATCTTTTCCCCAACGGCCTCTGAGCATATCCAGATCAGCTTGAAGCTTGCGGTTTTGAGCTTCCAAGAAGCGAACCTACAGATCAAGAGACTGTAACTTGGAAAAATAGTTATCTCTCACCTTCTCGATGTAGTTAGCAAGCTTATCATTCAAGTCACTCATCTCCTTCTTTTCCTTCTCACGATTATCACGGATAGTAGAGGCAGCGCTCTGTCCATATGGAGAGAGACCAGAGTTCATGGATGTGGTGGTCATTTCAGTAACAATCTTGAGCACTCTGTTACCAGATCCAACATCTAGATTAACATAATAATTATAGATGATTTGGATATGATATCCTACCACCAGGATTTCCATAGGTAGTTGTGGAGAGATTGTTCATGCTCCTATTGAAAGTAGGGCGAGAAGTAATAGAGCTACGGTATTCATTAGCTTCCTCAGTCATTCTTAAATAATAATAAGTAAATATATATTAAGATAATAATGAAAAGAATAAAAATTAAATGAAGAAAGGTTCATGTATACTGTACACCGTTAAAACCTTACGCATCACTAAACTATTGCTATTTTCTTCAACACTGTCCTTGGAAAATGGGCGTTCACCTTATTCATCTCGAAACCTGTCCGATTAAGTGATAAATTTGAAGAGAGAAATTATCATTTCTTTTGCATGGCCTATTTCGTCGAATTCCATTATGAATAGAATGAAAAAAGAATAAACGTTTGCTGTTCAGATGATTGTAGAAACGGTCATTTCAGTCCCATTAGGTATGATGAGAAGTCGTTTATTACTGTGAATTGATTGGACAGTCGAACAGGTTCCTAAATTCGTTCTATCATATTTCATAAAAGCATTTGGCGTCCGAAGTGATTTGTACATCGTTAGTACTATTGACGTTTCGGAAAACTTCCATCAGACACACCCAAAGCACTGAAATCATCATCTTCCTGACTCAACTTCCCTCCATAACAACTCATTCTTGAGATGTTGAAAACATTTTGTTTATGAAGCAAGTAAGATCACACTTACATGTCTTAGGATTGATGATGACCACACCCTGTCCTTGGTTACAGCAATTTACTTGATGCATTGCTTCATTAAAGAAAACATTAAATTGATGAGTCAATCGATTTCCTAAAAACTGACATTGGATTCGTTCAGCTAGATAGAACCACACCCCGTCTACTATGAATGAAGTCTCAAGCCAGATTATCAATTTATTCTTTGAAAAGGAAAAAAAAAGCAAAAAAATGAAACAATTTCAATCGGGAACATAATGGAACAAGTTGTTCTTAGATGAGAAATCAATTTTTAGTTCCCCCAAAAGACACAAATACACAAAGGCATACTCCATTCAGGTTCCATCCAAATCAGTGTCAATAATATATTTTCTTTAATAATATCTAACAGGCGGGTAAGTGTGAAGGCTGGACATATGTGAATCCCATAAATTCATCTCTGTTAGCAAGTGATGGATTTGTCGGAACCAATGAAGCTGAAAATTGATTAATTAGATATATGCATATAGATAGGCATGTCTAATATGATTACCAGGATTGAATTTATCCATTACAAACTCTTTGGAAATATGTGATAGATCTTGGTCATTCTTGATCTTTGGAATAAATGGAGCTTTGATCTCACGCAACAGAAGTTTATCAAAATCAACGGTTGAGAAGAAAGCATGTTCTTTAATCTCTTTATAACCAAATTTCGATCCCAAACGTTTTGTTCGATCTTTCATCAACATCTTCAATCATATCATATTAATATTATATTATATGATATAATGCATTATACCTGTTGAATGATGTCCGATGATGCATTCGAGATATGATGTTTGAGCTTAAGTGGCTGGTTAACGATTTTATCATACATTTCTTTATGATCTTTTGAATAGAATGGAGGCTGAAAGTACATAATATATCAATTAGCCCCATTCAGATGAATTCTTACGAGGCCATAAAGCATTTCATATAATACTGCTCCTAAGCACCACCAATCGACAGTGCGATCATATGATTTCTTGAGAACTATTTCAGGAGCCAAATACCTGATTACATGATAATGAGATGATATTTGCATCATATTTCATATGATCTTACTCAGGTGTTCCACAGAATGTGTTTGTTGTAGCATTAGCTGGCATATTCTCTTTACAGAGACCAAAATCTGTTAACACAATATAGCCAGTTCTATCTAACAAAAGATTTTCTGGCTTTAGATCTCTGAAATATAAATATAAATAATAGAATTATGAGAAGATTAGATTCTACCTGTAAATGATATCATTTTCATGCAAATAGCCTAAAGCAGATGCTATTCCAGCAGCATAGAAACGAGCTCTAGCTTCACAGAAAGTTTTTTCTATTTGTAAATGTGTGAAAAGCTGAAGATGGAAAAAGAAATATAAGTTGTCTTATCATTCATATGTTTACCTCTCCTCCATTCAGATGATCCAATACAAAATACAATTTTTCTTTTGTTTGGAAAGAGAAATGTAAAGATACAAGGAATGGATGGTTTATATTGGCTTTTAATACATTCAACTCAGCCATAACATGTTTAACCTTAAACATTCCATTTCATTTCATGATGTTTGATTCTTCTTTATAATCTCTTACTTCATTCTTTTTTCTAACATAGTCTTTACTAAGGACTTTCATTGCATATATCCTATCAGTTTCCTTATGTCTTACTTGGAATACTCGCCCAAAGCTTCCTTTTCCGATGGTGGAAAGGAAATCAAAATCATCTGGCTTGGCACTAAGTGAACTTAAGCAGAAGAACAAATAGAAATTCAAATACCTTCTGATTTCTTTTGGTCCAAGATCCACATAAGGATAGTCAACTTCCTCAGTTCTAGGTAAACAATAGAACTCTCGAATGTCTTGGTTTGGTCTAAAGCAGATATCATACTCTCTGATTTCATTTAAGTAATATTTACGATCGATTATAGATGCCCAATAAGGTCTGAGACAAAGCCATTATCCAAACACGTCTTTTCTCATGAAGTTTTGATTCAAATTGAAAAAATTTCTTTTTCGGTGGAGCTGTCTGTGTTGCTGGCAGATGTGGTAACATCTTAAATATAAATAAAGTTATATAATTTCAAACTATATATCAAACCTTTGTATAGAATCGATCATACTCTTCAAATTGTTTTTGTATAGCATGACCAGCTCTCAATCGCAAGCAATAAACCTTTAAATAACAAAAAGTGATGACAAGACTAAAGATGAAAGATGGTTACAACAGTTCGATGATCATCCGAAATTAGAACTTCACACGATTCAACATGAGGATTCCGCATAGTCTTAAAATATAACTGATAATCATAAGAAAAATGAAAAAGATAAGAAAAGTCATATGTTAAAGCGACAAAGACGAATATGAAATCGTTTCTCACATGCACAATGTCAATAGACATACATATATATATATATATATATATAGATGAGATGGAAAAAGTAGAAATGTATACTGAAGCCTTCAATAGATGATTCAGAATATTCTTGGTTACGCTATCTGTTGAGTTGAATGTGAAAATTCGATTATGAATGTGTCAAAAATGAAATTAAGCAACAAGGTTTTGAGAGAATTCATTTGAATCACGGAATTCAATAATACTCTTTCCCTCTCTCCCTCTCTCTCTCTCTCTCTTAACCACGTAATGTAATACAATTAATAATCTTCAAACTCTTAAAGAGACAGAGAGAGAGAGAGAGAGAGAAAGAGAGAGAGAGAGGTGTAATGATGGAAAAACTATTAAAAATAAATGAAAAAAAACTTGATGAAGTAAAGAAACGAATTTGCTCCAAAGAGATAGAGAGCTGTTTCCAGCTATTATCAATTTAGATTTCACAAGCTCATCATTCGAATTGCCGGTTTGATTCACTATCTCTGTTATCATTTATTCTCATTAAACCTATCATTTCATTTTCTCATTATCTTTTCATCATCATGAAGACAAAAAAAAGTTTTTCATAAGATTTGATGAGATATACTGACTGGTAAGAGTTACTGTATAAGCTCATTTGTATCTTAACTATAACATATAGTTATACTATGAATAGATTCATATATGTATGCATAGTTAATAAGTATAATTAATTTTTTGATAATTATATTATTCAATAATCCTTTATCAACATCAACTCATCTGTCGCTGTGTGATCGTTATCTCATTGAACGATTAGACGAATCATACAGTTCATAACGGCAATTCTGAAATAGACACAGGAAAAAGTGAAAGACAGTCTGATAAGAATAAAAAAAAAGGGAAAGAATAATTGCAAAGAATCGTCCATTACCTTTTAAAATATATTAAGATAATGATATCTTACCTGATATTGAATCTTCTCTCTCCTCCTCCTCCTCCTCACTGTACTAGCAGTACAAAGGTACGCAAATGGAAGAATGAGTATTAGAATATTGGTGATATTGAATCTAATAGACTGCCGACTGCCGACATATTAAATTATAAACGGAAATATCACTCTGTAGTGAGTATGCTGTTTCATACACCTATAACTCATTGAAACTCAATGCAATCACCATTTTTCATTTTAATATTCATAAATCAATAGACTACCTTGATTGACAGCCATTCTATTCATGAAAATGATTATAAAACTTGTTAATGAAATAAAAAAATGTAAATATATATATATAGTATACTATACAGTTAATCAATAACATAGATGAGAAGGTAACTGCATAGTTAGTCAATAGCATTTGAAGGTGTTAGCTTTATATAATATAATTATTGACAGTCGTCTCATAGATCATATAATCATCCATCTATCTATTGAATTGAATTGAAAGAAGATGTCTATGGATGTGAAATAAACTTTTATTTCTTCACTTATATAGTATATAATACAATGAATACATTAAAATATCAAATAAATAATATTTATATTGAGGTGTTAAGTGCCATTTACAGACATTGACTATCACATCAGGTAGTTGAAAACCTTATTGTTGAACATCAATCATCAATACTAACATACATTCAAATAAGAGATACAAAAAAAATGGATAAAGAAGTATGAAAGTTCATTTATACTTATGATACATGCATGAATCAGTAGGAATGAACATCATCTATATGTATGACATCATTATAAGCCTATAATATATATAAAAGTTTATTATGTACTTATACAGTAGGTAAACAATTATCATTCTCATCATCATCTTATTATTATAATGTAGTTCATTCAATCTATTTAATAATGCATAATTGATCTATTAGTTCATATATTTGTTATTGGAGCATGGATTCTATATTAGGTCATCTTTCATTGTTTACATATACATCCAATTATATACAACCTTTTGCGTTGGTAGATCAAAAAACTATTAGGTCTCGACACGACATAATAGATTTTGTGTGGCAAATTGACGCTTTGAATCTTTTTAAACATTCATTTCTATGTCAATCTATCTGATGACGTGATGTGCATTTAAGCTTTTAAAGCACTTTAAGCTGGCTATTAGTAAAAAGGAAAGACATTCATTGTTAGAATGGCACACACACACACATTCAAATTCTTCTCCTTCATCCCACAAATCTGAGGAGAACAGCCTGCACGCCAACTCATTTATGAATATATTATTTTATATTTCTTTCATTACCATATATTCAAATGCTTTTATCTCATTTCGTTTGTTTATTACTTTTTGTTCTTGTTTTACGTTGTTGGCTCAGGCCGATCGATATGCGCTGGGCATCTGCTACGGCTTCTCCTTCAAGCTCAATTGACATGTGTAAAAATATATTTTTTTTCAGTTAACTAAACTTTTCTCAAAATGTCGTCGGAGGAGAGAGAAAGTTTTCAACCTGAATCAACTCAGCCAACTGAAAATGTAAGTTTATTGTTTCCATTAAAGGATGAAATCAATTTTCTGCTGTTTTAGAAAGGATTAGCCAAATCGCTTTCGTTGTTCAATGGAGTTTCAATCATTGTTGGTTGTATCATTGGATCAGGAATATTCGTTTCTCCAACAGGAGTCCAAGAAAGTATTGAAAAGGTTTTGAATAACAACTTATGACGTTGAATGGTTATAGAAGCTGGTTCTGTTGGATTATCTCTAATCGTTTGGGTGACATGTGGGATGTTTGCCGCTATCGGAGCTTATTGCTATGCCGAACTCGGAACACTTATCAAGAAGTCTGGTGGAGATTATGCTTACATAATGGAAGCTTTTGGCCCTTTCCTGGCTTTCATCCGTTTATGGATTGAGAGTATGGTTGTACGGTATGGTGAATAGAAACTATAACTCACTACAACATTGTGTTTTAGACCTTGTACAGCAACTATTGTGGCTTTGACATTCTCTATTTATATTCTACGGCCATTCTATCCTGAATGTGATCCTCCAAGTGGAACTCCTCAGCTTTTAGCTGCGTGTCTTCTCAGTAAGTATTTATTATAATGAGTTTGATATTATTCTTGTTCAGTTCTGCTCACTGCTATCAACTGTATATCTGTTCGAGTTGCTACTTTCGTGATGGATGTCTTCACTGTTGCCAAAGTTTTTGCTCTTATACTGATCATCTTCACCTCAAGCCTGATGATGTGTACTGGTTAGTCTTAACAAATAGTCGAACATCAGTTGATCTTTTCTTATAGGAAAGCCTAAGTACTTCGATTCATTTGAAAACTTGTTTGAGGGTACCAACCAGAACTTCCAAGAAGTATCTTTGGCTTTCTATTCTGGATTGTTTGCTTATCAGGGATGGAATTACCTTAACTTCATCATCGAAGAGCTCCAAAATCCAAAAAGGTTTGATTTTTGAATAATTTTATTGGAAAAGGGTTATGGTTTAGAAATCTCCCATGGGCTATTGCTATCAGTTGTACTATGTGTACTGTTATCTATACTCTGACTAACATTGCTTTGTATACTGTCATTTCACCTGATGAGATGTTAGAGAGTCCTGCTGTAGCTGTGGTAAAGAGCTATTAAAGTAATTGTCTTAATTATTCTTCCTTTAAAGCTTTATGCAAAGAGGATGTATGGTCAATTTGCATTCATAATGCCGTTGTTTGTTGCTTGTTCCACAATTGGATCAGCTAATGGTGTTATTTTCACTAGCTCAAGGTGAGACTCAGATCACGGCTTTCATTAATTAAACATTACAGATTATTCTATGTTGGTGCACGTGAAGGACACATGCCTCAAGTATTAACGATGATCAACAAAACCACAAGAACTCCTATCCCCGCAGTTGTTTTCACTGTAAGTTGAACACGAAAGTTACATCTACATTTTTGTTGCAGGGATTACTCTCTTTGTTCTACCTTGCTTTGTCGAACAATATTTTCTCTCTTATCAACTACATTCAAATCAGTTACTGGCTCGCTATTGGAGCTGCCATGGCTGCCTTGTTCAGACTGCGTCAAACTATGCCCGATGCTGAAAGACCTATTAAGGTTTACTTCGTTTCCGTTTACACTTTGCTAATCCATTTCTTTACAGGTAAATCTGATATGGCCCGCCATTTTCCTTGTCGGATGTGTTTGCCTCGTTTTGGTTCCTATCGTTGGAGCTCCTAAGGACACTGCAGTTGGAATCCTCATCATGTTGACAGGAGTTCCAGTATACTTGGTTTTCATTGCTTGGAAAAGCAAACCAGCCTTCTTCGAGAAAGCATCAGGTGAGGGAAATTAAGATAATTTTCAGTAATACAATGATACTATTACAGCTAAAACTACAGTTTTGCTCCAGAAGCTGTTTTTGGTCGTCGATGACACTAAGGAAGAATAGATCTGTTCATATGTAATCATATTCATCTCCCACAAGCAATCTCATTCTCTGGTTCTAAAAACTGCTGTAATAACTATACTATCCTTATAAACATTTTTTTAGTGTTGAGTCTGAAAGAAGTCAGGCACCACACGATTCATTAGTTTGAAATGTATAAAAATGGATATGATCAAAACAGATCATTCAAACAAACAAACTATACACCACATACAGAAAAAACAAAAATGGAAAAATAAAAATGAAAACAAGAAAATGGAAACATGAAATGTAAATGAGATACAGTTTGAAGTGGATTTGCGTTATAAACAACCGTCTGATATCTAGTAATATGTCTCCATATCTTTAACAAGTTTTTTGACATCTTGAATTAAGCGGAGACAATTAGGGAGTCTATTCTCTGAAATCAAAAGATGAGATAAGAATCTTGATTATAATAAACTGACTAGACACTTTATGTTTCTCTAGTATTTCCATGAGCTGGTCCTCTTGCCAATTCAAGAAAGTACGAAGGAAATTGCCTTCTAAGAAACGATTTGTCTGAAATTTGATAATACACCGTAACCCAATTTTCTTTGGAATACCATGAACATTCCAGTGTTAGAACGTTCCAATGCTACATAAGGTGTTTTGGTAATCGCTAGCATTTCTATGAGATCACGTAGTAATCTGAAAAATGAGTGATTTTTGAGTTTTGATTCAGATTTGTGGTTACTTTAATGTAACAGTTGATACTTCAGCTATTACTCCTATCCCGCCTCTCCAAGTTGTATACATAACCGGATTTCTAAGTTTATTGAGGCAATAAGGACGTTCTGTGTGCAGATTTCCTATTGCAAAAGCTCCTATTCGCTCTCTGACGTAACAAGATTTTCTTTGCTATAATATATCTCATGAATATATGATACGATAAGAGTGGTGATTACCCCGAAAGCACGAGTGGAATAGACACCATCTATTCCTGTATGTCCCCATATAATTTCATTGTATTGATCAGCTCCGATCAAGAAATCATCTGTGATAAACTCAGCTGCAGATATGCGATGACATCTATCATCTCTGCAAAATATTCGAAATGACATGTTTCTCATTGTGATGGTACCTGGTTATCATCTTGAAACATTTCTTTTTTTCGCTGTAAACAAGTACGTAAGCCCTTCTCAGTTCTGTTATCAGGATCTGATCGTTCTGGAACCAAGTTAATCAACGATCGTTCAGGAAATATTGACAAACCCTTATTTTCATCACTAGAGGATCATCAGCTCTGATTTCTGCGACACTTGTGAGTGGCATAGGTTCACCCATCTCAAATTTAAAGGCCACTATTTTGCTGGAAAAAGATAATATTGTTACTAAACTCAAAACCTTCGTATTACGTTCTCAGAGCTGCTATCAATGTATCGCCTAAGATTCCTATGTGCTGAATCATGCCATGACCCAGACTAGCCGATATCGTTTTCTTTTTTTTATGGTCCTTGGTATCATAGAAAGTAAAAAGTATTCGGTTTGTTAACCATTTCTCTCTATCTCTGTCAATAGAATGCTTGATAGCATTGTAAGATTGACCGCTTTCCCTTGTGAATTGCAGTGCCGCGGCAATAAAGCAAGTACGTGGGTCGCTAGCGAATTTCCCAGATGTAATTGCTGATGCATACTCATGCTCACGAAACTCTATTTCTTCTTGTTGATTGAAATTTTCTCCGTGAAGGGTAACGAAATATGTTTTGATTTCGTTGAAATCAGGCTCATCAGTTGGATTGACAGCTAAAAATGAGGAATAGAGTGAAGAAGAGAAGTCTGACTAACCATCGTAGGACTCTATCTCTTCCTCAACATCCGGATTCACAATAACTCTTCTTTTCACATAATTCTAAATCGAGAATTTTTTGTTTGACGATGAGTTATGATATACCTTTCTTCTACAGAGAAGCCCAACTTTTTTCAATTCGTCGCTATAGCACATATCATAAGGATGATGGTTGATCTGGAAATCCCTAACTTTGAAAGATGGACTATCGTCCATGTAGCCGATCTGAGTGCCTACATAGCTGGAAGCTATTGCATACTCTCTGAAAAACAGAAAAGTCACTTGTCAGAACAAAAACTCTAAATTCACCTCTTCTTGTTTGTTTTTAAGTAACACAGAGCTGTCAATTGTGATAAATCGTACTCAACGAAGTTAACACACTCATTTTTGTCGTCGATAGCGATGGTTCGATCAGACAATGCATAGATGTTTTGAGGATCGTTTACATCTGGCCGCACGAATAGCACTGGTTGATAACCAAGATTTGTTTCTAACACATCATCGAAATTGCCTTAATATTTGCTTTCTTTACACATATTTAGTTCAAAACTCATACTTGTTCTGAAGTTGACTGTCGCATTCAATAGTCTTCCATCAGCTGTTCCACAGAAAACGTAATATTTTTCATGATAGCAGTTCAATGCGATGGATCTCGGGAAAGACTCATGCAGCTTGTAATTAGCAACCTGCAACGGTCAACAGTTTCTTCAAATCTTGATTATTTAAGATCTGACTCTTTCAAACGAATTTAGACGATAAACGCTACATTCTTTTGTCGACCAGAATCCAACAGCAAAGACTCGAGATGATGATTTATCTAAACGTGAACATCAATGCTTGCTATCTTCAATTACATCATACCGTGAGGCAAATCGATACATGTAATTTCTCCAGTAAAATCGTTTGATCTACGTAATAAAATTTTGAAGCGTTCTGACTGAAAGATCAGATAGTACACGTGGTTTCTACAGGACACCAGTATCTGCAAAACAAATGTTTTTCTTGGATCTTTATCTTTGTGATACTTGATTCGTGTCCCTGTTCACGCTAGCGAGATCAATATGCTTGCCGGGCATCCAAGTGACCAAACCTTGCGTTTGATTGAAAATCCGTATTTCTTGAGTTGTAATCTAAAGGAATTGGTTAATAGTAAAGACACAAAGTATACCTGATAACAGCATTGAGAAGGGAGAAAGGTTCCTGCGGCTAAGGTTGCATTTTCCGTATCAATATGTTCAGAAAAGCTAGGAATGCGATCTGTCATCCCTATTTCCATGAGCACAGATTTTCTTCCAAACGTCGAGATAATATGGTTTTTGAGACAAGAATGATGTCCGAATGCAAACATAGCCTAAACAGTTCAGAATATAGAAAGACTTTCTCTATGATAATTCAAACATTTTGTGGATTCTCATCAATTGTATAATGAATACGGAACTGATTAACTCTTTTGCTTAATCGTAACGACGGCTCCTTAAAATAGAAAATTATTGTTAAATTGGTTTTTCATCTGAATCTTACATCATTTGTATTGAGTCCCATAAGCATTCGGAACTTTCCATCATCTACAATGCTCAAATGGGAAATTCCACCAAGATGAGGGAAAGTTTGAAACTCCTAAAAGGGCCAATGAAGCTTTTCTATATGTAAGCTTCTTACTCTGACTGAGCCTTCTCCTCTATCTTTTGCATAATGTGCCATAACACTGTCATTGTATTTAGTTCCGAAAAATAGAAATTTGTCGTTTATGAAACACATGGTATAAGCTGCCTTAACAGAACCCGCTGGTGTAGCCTAAAAAGGTAATTATCTCAAAAAATGTTTTTTTCTTTTCATTTACCCTCATATAGAAACGACCATTATCTTCATCATGCCAAAGTAATAGAGAATAAAGTGTTCCTAGGTAATCACAGAAGATTAAACGTCCTTTCTCAGCCATTTGAGCAAAACAGATAACTGTCATGAACTTTTTGTTGTGAATAACAGTCTCATGTCTAGTACCATCAATTCTGAATTATTACTTATGAAAGATTTTCTTCTGAATTTGTATTTCTTACTTAAATTGAATGAATCGATCAGTCATTTTAACTATAACACCGCCATATGGTTGTGCCAATGGAGCAAGACAAATGACATCGTCAAGTAATGGAATCTTTAAGATAAAATATAAGATCTAATATTTGAATTTTCTTAACATACATCTGGACCTATACGATCAAGACTGTTTCTTTTGAGATCGAGCTCAAAGAATTGTAAATGTCTTCCATACTCTTCTTCTACTATATAAGCTATTTCTAATCTATTGTTATCTTAAAATTCATCTGATACATCTATTGAATCATCTTCCTCTAACTCACCCTCTTCCGTATTCAAGAATACCATTTGTTTTATAATGCTATTTGTAGAATATATATCTCTTGTAGGCAATATAGAATATGTCTGATTCTTCTTCAAATCATCCCAAAGTATGATGGTGAACGATTGTGCACGTACGCGGACTACAATAACCTGAAAAAATAGTTTTTATTCCTTTTAATTTCTATTTTTTATCAAAAAAGTCTTTAAAAACTTTAGAATAATGTTGCACTTTATTATTTTATATAAATTTTTCCCATCACTATACTGTCTGGCATGAGATTATGAAACTATTGTTAAGTAATTAGTGGATTATAAACGTGAACGTTTCTCACCGTATTAGGAAGTTAATAAGATTATCTGTCTAGTCAAATTAGTAAAAACGTATAGTCATGAGATTATCTATTGTTTGTATGTGAATAAAAAGGATTATGTGTAAGAATTGTAATTGAAAGATGATTATGATGATGAAGAATAGTATATAAAGATGATTATGAGCAACTTCATTCTCATTCCTAACTATTCGCTATTCATTTCTTTTCCTTACAGTTGACAGTCGTCTTGTTTGAAAAATCTATTTCATTTCCTTTCATCTTCAAATTCTTTTTTTCTCTTTTTCTATGAAATATATTTTAAAAGAGTTGTTAGGATAGATCAAAGAGCCTATTTTGAATTTAAAATTTTAAAAGCATTGTTAAAGCGTGAAGAATGGCTCATTAATATGTTTTTGAAATATGTTCGTTAAATATTTTGAATATAATTAAACTAGCCATGCAAACGACTATTCATTGTCTAGCTAAGATGAATTTATTGGAGTTTTTTTCCATTTTTGGAGTCGTCAAGGTTTTTATGAATATAGCCAAATGAGCCATCTTTTTGTGATTTTATGAGACTATGAGAAAGAAGAAGAAGCTTAAAATGAAAAAAAACAACTCACTCCACTTGAATGTCCAATGACGAAATTTCCTTGATGAGAAAATATTTCTGTTCCACATTCTAAAATATTTCCAACTGTACCACATCCTTCTATAGCTAATTTTCCATATTTGAAGCCATAAGCTGTCAGAGTAGTTTCGTTAGTTACCACCAAAATCACATCTCGTCGCTAAACAATTTTTTCGTTGCTACCTATCAATCTTATATACCGATCTGGGTGGTCTAAAAACGCAGGCATCCTTGACATTTCCTCTCAGTTTGACGGATTGAAAGCATTGAAATTCGCCTTCAGTTTCATTAAACAAGTGCATCTGGAGGAAGCCACATCTGACTAAGACCATTTCATTTCTTGTTTGATCTAAATATTTTTGATTCTTTCCTGCCAGTCTTTAGATATAACCTGTCATGTGAGTAGAAAATGCGTGAGTAACTGCTGCCGATGGTGTTATTGGCAGAACAAAGTTACTCACCATTCTCTATCTGCTTCCTAAAACAATACTTTAGAAATCGTAATAAATGAATAATGTTGTATAGAAGGTTTGAACCGTGTGAAATGTAGAATCGAGTATTTATATGAATAGATGCAAATGAGATGCTAGATGGTTGTCGCTTAGCAACAACCTCTGTGCCGCACATTGATCCTGTAGACAGCTCTCACAATCCGAAATATTTGTATGTTTAGCCTGACGTCCTATTTCCGCGCTCTCTCTATCTCTCTCTCTCTTTATTTATCTTTTTTGATTTTTCCGAAAAAAATCGATTTTCGATCATTGCTGATCAACTATCCCTTATCAGCTGAGCTAGTTGAAAGCTTTTAAAATAACAAGTTGACACTTCATGTTCACACTTCACTTAATTGATGTTTTTTAGTGATATGCTGTCATAACGCGTCCTTACACTCATGATTTAGAAAAAATGATAGAGAGCATTATGTTTTGAGAGAAATGAGAGAAAAAAAGTGAAAACAAATGACCGACTGCGCACTAGCCGATGGTTAGCCCAAATGTGGCGTTCCATGCAGGGCGATCCAGACAATCAATAGCGCGCGCGGAGGCGTTATGCGAACGCGTTGAGCCAATCGCCATGAGACCTCCTGGGATTGGGTAGAATTAGGCAGCAGATGTTATTGATCTGCATGGCAAGTAGCGTCGTTTATTTCATTGTTAGACTCATCCGTGAACACGCTGAGTCCAAACGAACTGGTGTTCGCTGTCTGCATTTTTGACATTTCATTTGTTTCAAACACTGCCCCCATTGATCTATGTTTGTTTACGATACCTCTCGACCCTTATAAATAATCGTTTTTATGAGGGTCAAATATCATATTAAACCATAGATCATAAAAAACATTCCTCTATCTCTATCTCTTATCAAGATATCAATTAAGTTTTAAAAAAACTAATTAATTATTCAAATTAAGATACAAACTCCATCATCGAAAGCCTCAAGCAACATGAGTTCAAATAACTTGGATTCTATCTTCATTCCTAGCTGTGAGATCCTTCGTCCCGAAGATGGAAATGACTTGGACTATCTGTTCAGAGTTCCTGCTGGTAACCAAGTTCACTAATAGTTCTTTTTTGAATTGAAACGTTTATAGCCTATGATCAAATTGGATACGATGGATTTCCAAGTGGGCTTAGAGAGCAATTAGGTATACTCGAAACTAATCTTCTTGAAACTGGTATCAAAACTGAAAACTAATTCTATAAACGATATCTCTTCATTTTAGTTCGTAAAACTCCAAAGGAATTCTGTGAGCCATTCTTTAGACGCATTCATCCAATTCTAGAGTTCCTTGTTAGTCAGTTTAAGACTTTAGAAGCTTTTGCAGACATGCTTAGATCAGTGAAAGAGTAATTACTAAATTAACTTATAAATGAACAAGTAATGAATTATTCAGGGTCAAACCTCAGAAATTGAGCATTATCTGTAGCTTAGCACGTATTGTTCCTCTTCGAACATCCGATTACTTTCAAGAATATTTGGACAGCCGTCCAGCAGACTCTATGGAAATTAAGTTCATGAAAAGAGTAAGCATGCTTTTGAGTTACTTTCTGTTATCACTGCATCCCTGTAGCTCATGAATGTTGATTGTTATCAACAGCGTCTTATGTTATGCATGTACGTTAGCAGAGCTGAGGCTATGTACAAACTTTGTGATGAAGTAAGGAACATTTATAATATCAGCTAAACAAGTTTTTTTTATAGGCTTTCCAAGCTTATATGAGATTAGGTTACAATTTGGCATCTCACCCTATTGCCATTGATTCAACTCTGACTTATCGAATTCAAAGATTCTATATGTCTCGTATATTCCACGACTCTTTCGATGACATCGTTGATGAACTGAAGGAGGATCCTAACATCGCTGCTGATTTTATGTACTTGTTTCCTGCAATCGAAGCTCTGTCAAAACGTAACGAATCTTTTGTAATGATAATATTTTCATGTTCATATGTTAAGTTGATCCTGTTATCATTGCTGACAGCAGATTCTTCTGCGAACGCGATTATAAGAGATTTGTTAGCAAGTTCACGCGTGCATCTGACACTGAGTTCGGAATAGCTGAGAAGCTGAAACCATTCTTGGAGGAATATGAAGTCAAGTTTGACAATCTAGATGAGTTAGTCAAGGTGGGTACGGTTTCAAGAGACAGTTTCATTTTATAATAATTTTCAGAAAAATGTTGATGATATGATGGGCGTGTTCAACGGAAATGTCGCTGGGAACGAAACTGTAGCTGATTATTACAAAGCGTATCTGGAAGTCTTTGAAAAAATCAAAGAAGATTATGAGAGAGGTGATGAAGAGGTGGCTGATGAAGAAATGGCAGAGGATCCTGAGGATATGGAAGACGAAAGCATTGATGATGAAGACGAAGACGAGGACGAGGAAGAAGATGAGGAGATCGAAGAAGACGAAGATGAGGAAGAAGATGAAGAGATTGAAGAAGATGCCAACGAAATGCACGAGGACGTTGAAGACAGTAATGAGCACGAAGACGTCGAAAACAGTAATGAACACGAGGACGTCGAAGACAGTAATGAACACGAAGAATCGAGCACTGAATCTGATTCGTCGGACGAAGTTGTAGTGCAGTATCACAACGACCCTTCTGTACTTTAACAGACAGTTAGTTCTTTTTTTCTTTTTTTTTGTATTTTCCGAGATTGGCATCTCAGTCATTCTTATTATAAACTTTAAGTTAGCTTACTCCTTCTATAATAATCATCTATACTAACCAACGATGAAAATTGAAAAAACAAAAAAACTTTAAAAAAGTATTAAAATACAAAAATAACATCATTTAGAGGACTTTTTAATATACTTTTTTGACGCGTTTTTTGTCTTTTCTTCAAATTCATATGAATCACTTTTCTTTTTAGGAAGTTATTACGATGCAATTTTCCTTTTAGGGATTTCATTTTTCCAAAAAGTTAATAAACAATGATCTCTATGATTTAAATTACTATTATGCATAATTAATAATACAACTAACAATCCAACTAATTCATCCATACTTTGTATTCTTCGCATGCTTAAATAAACTTTTTGTATTTATGACAGTTCACTCTGGTGTGACCATCTTGTGAAAAACTACACATTAAAATCCTTCAGCTGCTTTCGAAAACCTATAAATGAACACATTACAGACAAACATGTCAGCGATGCAACAAGTACGAAACTGATGAAAGACAGTTTGTTAAAAGATGAACAAAGGTGCACACGACTGTTTACTCCTCTTATAAAACGACACAAAACAAAGTAAAATTCTGAAACTTTAGAACTAAAACCCGATAAAAACAGATAAAACGTCTGAGATCAACTCATTCAGAAGGACATAACGAAGAAGTCACTCTGCTCGGTACACTTGTGCTTGAGAGCTTCGACAACCAGCTCCTGAGGCGGAAGCACAGGAACACGGTCTGAAATAATGATAATTCAGTTATTTTATAGATAAAGAGTATGAGTTACCTTCGTTGGCTCTGTAACGAGCATACTCTTTCACAATTCGAAAGCTGCAAGTCAGAAGCAAAGCGATCACAGCAAAGACAGAAAAGCCTAAACAAGATCAGTTGAGGCAAACAGTTGTATGAACTCACTAATTACAAGTATGATTGTGGAGTCAACAGTTCCTTCCATCTTATCACGAATGAGTATCAGTTAGCGGAGATCTGGAATGAGAGAGATTAGAAGGAATAACCACGAACACAAAGAAAAGGAAGAACCGAGAACACGACACAAAACA